ACATGGGCGCAATACTCCGGAATAGGGGTCCGTGCCATAAGGGCATGTGTCAGTGTGATCCAGATAACGTTAGAAGCAACGGGAAGAGAGATACAGCGTACCAATGGACCTGGAAGGATGGGGACAGGACATGCGAAGGTTGTCCGATGATGTGTGGGAATGTCAGATAGTGTGGGCAGGTTCCGAAGGATGTGCTGGGAATGCGGAACCCATCGGACGATCCATGGGAAACGTGGAACGTGCGGAATATGTGGAACTGATGTGAGACAATGCGGAAAGGACAGGGTTTTATGCCTACAGTGGGGGAATTCCCCACACCAGCGCTCCGCCCCCATCTCCACACTCACCCCTGGCTCCTTTTAGAATAGCTATTGCTCCGGCTACCAGTTATATCCTTTCCGCTATGCTTACTGATCTGTCCATTCGTACTTCATTTCCGACCTCACTGCTTTGATCCGTATACACTTACTAATAGACTTTCCACATGCTTCGTACATAGCCCTTACTTTGCTGACTGATTTACTTACATGATACCTACAGTATATAAACTCCTGTAATACTCCGGAACTCCTCAGTTCAAATATCATCTTAGTTCTGCTCATTCCTGCTTCTCTGGACTTGAGTCTCATCTCTTGTCTACCTCTGAGTCTTAGGGTTAAAACCTTAGGACTAAATCTCCGGCTCTACCTTAGGGTAGTCTAAACTCTGTTCTGTTTCTACTCTGGACTTGTCCGTAGTAGCCTTACCCCATTCTCTCATAATCTTCCAGAGTTCCGCCGAACTCCCCCGATGTCTGACCTCCGGACTTCCCCCAGACTTCCATCAGACTTCCCCTCTGCCCCTCAGAAATTAAGGGCACGTACTCGGGTAAGGGGCACAGCACACGAGCTGAAGCCGAAGCCCTTTGAGTAACCTCCTCCTTGAGCACGACCTTAACAGAAGGCCTTGTATCCCTATACTGCCAGTAATTACCCCAATAAATGCTTTTATCTTACCTTCAGAAAAACAAGGACTTAGTCTACCGTGAGACCAATCCTTTGCTGCCAAGTATGACAACAAAACATACCCAAAATGGCAACAATGTCATGCAACTGCTGTTCATCATTGCCAGCAACATCCGAAACCTTCATGCTCATCGTCATCCATGACGAGCTCAATAACTCCCTTGTTTCTCAGCCGTTTCTTTCACTTTTTCTTGCCACTATGTTCCACACATCCACCACTCACCTGCCCTAGTGTTTATGCATTACCAAATGATGCAACTGATATGTGTCCACATTGGTATTTCAATGACTCCCGCCATGATGCTACCACACCTTGGTTTTCCTCTCTCTTCCAGCGATGACTGCAGTGAGACATCGGAAAGGTGGCATATCACACACTCTCCATGTTGTCCAAGCCTCTCGAAGGGGCTATGAGCAACAGACTCTCACCCACAACGGTGTCCATCAAGAATGGGAACACGCACAACAATGATACCTTCAGGATATCACAGGTGTGTTTTTCTTTCTATTCTACACCACATCTCTCAACTCTTCAAGCAGGCCTTGCCGCTGATTCAGTATCTAGTCTCAATGATATGTATTCCCAACAAGACTCAATGCAGACTGACGCCGGAGACAGCACATGGGTCAATTGTGAAGGCAGAGGAGAAGTTGTACTTGATGGTGGGCAGCCAGACAGGTCAGAGGATGAGGTATTTGTGAATGCTGTCCGTGACTACATCAGTTCTCCATGAGTCCTACTTTAATTGATTATTCTTAAACACCAATGTTGTGCAGGTGGGCTCAGCGCCAATATCAAGACAAACAGACCTGGCGCAATCAGCTTGGACAGCCTACATGCAAACTGGTTACCCCTCCTTGCTGGACTCATGGACACCTACCTCCAATGGAAGGCATTATCTTCTAGTTGTGAAGATGTTGTCTCCGCCTCACCCATGTCTGTCACAGATACTGATCATTCCTTCACCATTCCGATGATCCACATTTTCATGCTTAGTCACAAAGTTACTAGCCCTCACAGTGCAGATAGTATGTCTGTTGTGGATTCTCTCCTACAGTGCTGGCTACCTTTCTCCCACACCTATCACACCAACAATTGCAATCTCATTATGCACCCTTGAACACTACTGCCTCATTTGCAACCGAAAGCCTTTGTTCAGTATTGAAGCATTTGCTAAGGTACTGTGCAACTCCTACAGTGTGAGTTATTAATCTATTTTCCACTCATTAGATCATTTACAAACTAAAGTACTTCTCTAGTTGCCCTACCACCGAAGATACCGCACCATTCTCTCAGATGCCTTTGACGTGTATCTTTCTCTCCTCAGGAAGGTTGAGAAGCACATGTTAGCAGCCCTGGGATGTGACATACCTAACTGGCAGGTCTTGAATGCCTGTACCCCCTGCACTTATGAAGTGGTTGATGAGCCTCTCCTTGATTTTAGTTGATTCTACGTACTTGATGGGGGAAATTCCGCTAAGCGCATGGCATCAGTAGGATCTTGTCAGATTGCTGACACACAGTGTTTTGTTGAGTCCAACTATCTCCTTCCACATGATTTCATTGACACATTTGCACATGACATACCTCCTCAAGATGCTGTCATAATGTCATATACCGGATCTGAGTACCCCCAGTACCTCCTATGAGCATCCCCACTGCTGGCCCGACCCCCTGTTTCCCTGTCCGCTTCATTCCTCCTTCCCCGACAATGCATGAAGTGCATCTCAGTAGGATTAGCCCTGCTACCTCCATCCAACTCCATTCCGCTTTTCCAACATTACCCCTATGTCCTCCGACACCATACCCCTTCCATCCGACCCTATCTGGGGTTCCGCTCCTCCGCCCTATCAGTCCACCTGATCCTACTCCTACTCCCTCCACTTTTCCTCCCCGCTCGGATCCTTCGGTTCCGCTTGTATTGACCCACCTGACCATTAGTCTGTCTGACCACCTCACCGGTCCACCCCTAGACTAGGAACCACTCAACTGGTCCTATCCCCGTTTAGTATTATAGTTCCGCTTTTCGGATCCCTGGTAATCCCTATACCCTAGCGAGTCTGATCCGTTGCGTACATACTTTTCTCCGAGCCTCATTCTTGTATGTCTCAGTCATCCCATTGTAATCCTGTACACTCAGCACATAGCCTTCTGCTATGCTATGCTCCTTACTTAGAGTATATGAACCTATGTACCTTTATCTGTAGATACTCAGTCTAAATATTACCTTTTCTAAGCCCTGCTCTTCTGTTCTTTGACTTGGGCCTGATCCTAGTCAACTCCTGATAGCCGGCCTAGGGGATTGACTCCCTAGGTCAGCCACCCTCCAGTTCCTCCGTTCCTCCGTTCTCGTTCTCCGTTCCTCGTTACCTCCGTTCCTTCCGTTCCTCCGTTCCTCCGTTCCTCCGTCCTCCGTCCCCGTTCCTCCGTTCCTCCGTTCCTCCCGTTCCTCCGTTCCTCCGTTCCTCCGTTCCTCCGTTCCTCCGTTCCTCCGTCCTCCGTTCCTCCGTTCCTCCGTTCCTCGTTCCTCCGTTCCTCCGTTCCTCCGTTCCTCCCGTTCCTCCGTTCCTCCGTTCCTCCGTCCTCCGTCCTCCGTTCCTCCGTTCCTCGTCATCCGTTCCTAAGTTCCTCCGTTCCTACGTTCACTCCGTTCCTCCGTTCCTCCGTTCCCTCCCACTCTTCTGACTCCCCGTGCATCAGGAACTAGACCCCCGCACTCTCGCATTCCGTCCCCTCCGTTCCACTCTGCTTCGGACTTCGTCCAAGCAGTTCCCCTCTGCTCCGCTTCTACTGTTGGTTCTGACCGCAGTAGTATTCCGCTTCCTTCCTGTCGGGTGGAACAACCCCCACCCGACTTTCCCGTGCTCACCTAGTAGTCTGTCGGTCCTCCTTCGGAGGACCCCCATTCTGACGTCCTGTCAGAACACATAGAATTCGTGTCGGACTACATCCCGAAATTAGGGGCATGTACTCGGGTAAGGGGCGCAGCATACGAGCTGAAGCCAAGCCCCTCAGACTCCGCTTTACCCCTGAGCACGGTCTTAACACGTGACTGCAAAGTCAATGTCACAGGGTACTGATCACCACTCTTGAAGAAACTTACAACATTTGCAGAAGCTATGGAATGGTTCATTATCAAGGGTGGTAGGGCGGTTAGGGAGAACAACACCGCTGTCACTATGGAACTTGCACTGCAGCCCTCATCCTCTCAAGTGTTGCCAACCACACTAATCAAGAAGACCCAATGAGTTGCACTGCAGCCCTCATCATCTCAAGTTTTGCCAACCACACCAATCAAGAAGACCTGATGAGAGCATTTGAACACATCCCTAGGCGATTCTGCACCTCCACATTAGTGATTTTGAGCTAGTCATAGTTCTCATTGACACTTCTTAGTGATGATAGATTCCCCATCATTAAGTTCTTCTCTGTCTTCTCTGTCGATCTCTCCAGCCACTGGTTCACCTGGACACCATCAGGGATATCAGGCAACATCAGAACACCCGCAACCAACTACCTGGCAGCTACCAGAACACTCGCAACCAACTACCTGGCGGCTACCAGATCATCCACAAATACAATCTAGCAATTGGTCTCCCATCTATAGCTATATCCACGAGTTTTCTGGCATTCAGCGTGCTATCCCTCACCCGCTACCCCTGGACTCTACCCCCCTTCCGTCATTTGGATTCCTTGTGGACAATTATCTCCAAGCACATGGCTACACTATGCGTGCTCTGTTTCATGTTCAGCATGCTGTTCATACCAGTGATTCACAGGAACATTTTTCTTGCACACTCCCTCTTCAAGGCATGCCCGTTATGGAGGCAACATTCTTGTGGAATCTGATGTCTATGGATGCAGACTATAATGATGGACCTCTTGAAACGTAATGGAGCAATCACATGGGCCCTTAGCGCAATTATTTTGGCTGTTGGCTGTTTGTTTTCACTTCTCATTCTGTTACTTCATGCATACTACTACCTGCATTTACTATGGCCAATACTCTCTCTCCTTCTGACCTTAAGCGCTATGCTAAAGAAATGCGAAAGTTGTCAACACAAAGGGTCCAGAAACCTTGGCATCGTAGTTCCTGTCCTCATGTTAAACGTAGTGCAGCTGAAAAATCAGCTGCCAGAAAGTGGTGCAAGGAATTTCATACTGAGTATTCAGCTGCACTTGCTGCAGCACAAGACATCATATGGGAACAAGCCATACAATTACGTGAAAAGTTTGGCTGTCACTCAGTTGACTACTACTATGAAACAATTATGCAACAGTCATGCAAAATGGTTAACAAATGTCCAGCAACTCTGCTGGAATGCATTTGTCCGACAGGAGGTGAAGTGTGCTAATGACGGTAAGTCAGCTTGCAGCTTGCTATGCATGGGAAGTCAAGTCATCTGACCTATGATGAATCTTAGTGCTTCCACCTGGTACTGAGTGTCAGAAGGCCCCTGCAATGATGAAGGACTTGTCGGAACGCTGGAAGGACATGTTGAAGGATGAACATGAAGCCATAATGGAGGATGCTGTTGGAGACCTTAATGATCGTTGAGAAATGAAGGAGCTATCTCAGTGAAATATTGCAGTAAACTCTTTTCAAGATGGTAAACGAACATTAGCTTCCATTGATCGCAAGGTTTGAACATCAAATCTTGCACCAACTGCACATCTGACTCATTCTTTAAAATTTTAGCTTGCTGCTTTAAATGCACGGACAGGCATGAAGATAATTATGCTTGCTGTGCACTCAGATGTTGACCACTTTAACCAACCACATGTATTTCATACTGAACGTGCTCATGACTTCTTCACTGCATGTTTGAAATCTTTGGTTCATGATTTTGCCTTTAGACTGGAGGGTTTTTGTGTTGCAGGTGTGCAAGGTCAGCTTAATCTTATTCTACAGGCATTATTCAAGACTAATATGAGTGTTCTAGGTCTAGCCAAAACACACATCAAGGAGGTCATACAGTTAAAGAGGCAGATAAGCGAGTTAGTCTTGCAAAAACTTCGTTAGTTTTTCATTATGTTGCCTGTATGTGGTGGACTGATTTTCTACTTAGAGACCGTTGCTGCACTGCAGAAGGTTTCACAAATGTACTATCAAAACTTTGACACTAACGTCACTGCACAGTACCGCATCATTATTGAGAATTGGCTGCTGGCAAAATTCTGGGCCCCCAGTGATATTAGCTCACACAATGAGCTGTCAGTCCTTTACTGTGCTTGGGAATCTGATGCTACTCAATTCCGCTGCCTCACTGACACTGAATTCGAACTCTGGGAGGAGGATCAGTTCCAGGCAGCATTGGTGCGACAGAACGAAGCTACTGTGGAGGGCACTCAACTAAGTGAGGTAAGTTTTAATACTCATTTAAAATGCAATTTCTGATATGTAGAGCTCACCCAAGCACCCTCTCGAGTCATCACCAGTCACTACAGACACTGTGCACCCCAACAACACTGACCCACAGACTCAACCACAGCTGGATGCTAACCCTCGTCCTTCTGGCTCCTCTCAACCTTGTGGACGCAAACGCAAGGCTCCATCTGCAGAGGTCCTGAACACTGTTCTCAAGCAACGGTGATAGTGTCCCTGTGCAGAAAAAGGCTCGGAAAGAGAGATCTGACAAAGGGAAGGCATGTGGACCACGGAAAAAGGTTCCCACTGACGTCCCGCAAGAGTCTGAGGTTCCTCCTGTTGTCAATTCTCCTCCTCTCACAACTGCAGCCCATGCCACAGGTGCTCCTCCTGCATCTGCAGAGTGATTTTTGTGCCAAGGACCATCATATTTTGCCCTTGCTGCCTGATACTTAGCCGTTTTTCCATGTTATGTTAATTACTATGTATTTTCATGTGCAGTGCCCTACATTGAAAATATACAGGTGTGATAAACATAGTGGCAAGACAAAGTGAAAGAAATGGCTGAGAAACAAGGGAGTTATTGAGCTCGTTGTGGATGACGATGAGTACGAAGGTTTCAGATGTTGCCAGCAATGACGAACAGCAGTTGCGTGACATTGTTGTCGTTTTGGGTATGTTTTGTTGTCATACTTGGCAGCAAAGGATTGGTTTCACGGTGTGGGGAATTCCCCCACTGTAGGCATAAAACCCCGTCCTTTCCACATTGTCTCACATCAGTTCCACATATTCTGCACATTTTCCATATTCTGCACGTTCCGCATTTCCCGCACATCGTCCGATGGGTTCCGCATTCCCGCGCATCCTTCAGAACCCGCCCGCACTATCCGATATTCCTGCGCATTGTCGGACAACCTTCGCATGTCCTGTCCCAATCCTTCCAGGTCCATTGGTACGCTGTATCTCTCTTCCTGTTGTTCCTAACATTATCCGGATCAAATTGACACATGCCCTTATGGCACGGACCCCTATTCCGGAGTATTGTGCCCATGTGCACTGCCTGCCTTCACTTCCGCTTCCTGAGAACTTACTACCTGTACCTCAGTGTTCCTTGAAAATAATCTTCCCTTTAAGTAGTGGTACTCAGGGCTTGGGGGTTTTTATTGAATCCCATCTTTTACCTTCCCACTTGTCCTTCACCTTACTAGAGGACCACTTTGACTTATGCCCACTATCAATCTAACCTCATGATATACTTCCTTCGACTTTGCCTGTGAGTTCCGATGAATCAGTACGTTCCGCGCTTTATCTGTTTGAGTTCTGTTTCATTCCTTTCCATTCTGCTTGAGTTCCGCTCAGGTTCCGCTTGTTCTGCATGAGTTCCGCTTGTTCTGCTTGTTCCGCATTTTTGCGGATCCTCATCCTACTTGCGGTAGGGTTGAATAGGGTCGCTTAGACAGAGATTAGCCCTCCCCAGTAGCAATCCCCTTTAGGGTCGAACGTGCTTGTTGTCAAGTGAGGCAGCAGGCAGCAAAGACCCAACTGTGTAGTAGATCAATTTCTCTCCACTGCACTTGTTGTACCCACAACGGTAGACTAAGTCCTTGTTTTTCTGAAGGTAAGATAAAAGCATTTATTGGGGTAATTACTGGCAGTATAGGGATACAAGGCCTTCTGAGCTTATTAGCTTGTCATACCATACTGGGAATGACAAGCTAATAAGGTCTGGATCATGTGATGTTGAGGTGCACTAGTCAAATCAAAAAATCAGTCAGTCAGATTTTGTCTGATATCAGACAGGTCACTTCTGAAATCAGATCAATGTCAGCACCTATGTTTCCCACATTACCTAGTTAGTCAACTGGCCCTATGGTAATCTTAGTAACACTTAATAAAGCCTAAACTCGTTTATATGGAGCACCGCTGGTGCACACCAGCGGTGCTATAGCCCTTTACTTGTATTCTTTTCATAGGGAGCACTGTGGGTGCTGGTTACTTCATCACCTGTTTTGGCAACTCTGCCACCTCCCATAACAGGCACAACACTACCACCTGTCTGCTCGTCATCAACAACAGCGAGCTCATTACATATGGTCAAAATACCATGGCCTGTCTGCTATTTCTTCATATTATTAAGTATAGTGTAATATATAAGCCTTATACTGCTTTTTTACTGAATTATTCAATGTTCTCATATGTTTTTTTTTGTTGTGAACATATATATTGAGATGAACTATTCTACAACATGTTGAGTGTAAGCTAGACATTTTCCTGGTCTGATTCAACCACAGCCTTGCTCTTTTTCCCCCACCAGAGCCCCTTCCCAGTGCGCTGGCCATGTTTCTCACTTGAGTCAGGTTGCAACTGCTGGGCTTTTTCTGTGAGCTTGTGAGCACGTTTAGGGCGTTGTTCATGTGATAGAACAGTGTCGGTCAAAGTGCACTTGTGCTTGTGATTCATCATGGAGATAAGGGCATCCCCATTAGTTGCACCCAATGTCACAAAAGGTTGTGACTGGGGACCTAGCGTGTGGAGTTCGAGATGAGTCAGCGTACAGTCTGAATTGTTGACAGGGAGGTGAGGTGGGGAAGGTGATATGAGGCGCTGCACAGTGTCAGTTGTACTAGAAGCTGCAGAGGGTTGAAGTGAGCATTCATTCATTAGGCGGTTCTATTAGACTTACTGTGAGTGCAAAGAGCGGGATCCAACATATCATCTGTAAATGTGGAGACACGGGTGGGTTCATCGAAGGTACTACCAGTGGGTATTGTAGATGGAGAGTTGTTGACATCAGGCTCATGATTGCCATCTCCAGTGAAAGAGTTGTCATGAGAAAAATCATTCACATCAACATTACACAACACAGTAGACAATTCGTTCTCAGAGTCAGATGCAGGTGGAAGTGAAGTCAGGGGAGTAAAATTCTAGTCCGAGGAATGCGTAAGCGAAAGATTGATGGAGGTAGACTCTGCAGTTGAAGGTGAAGATGGGGTCAAGTCAGTTTCAGCAGATGGTTGGACTACATCAGGCAATGAGTTGCAGGTTGGTTCAATGGGCATGGGAGGCTCAACCTTGGGGGTAAGCTTCTCTCCATTCTTTGCACATTGTAAATGATCTTCAAGCTCTTCACTTGAGATAGGAATAAAACGGCACATGCCACTTCCAATGGCATCCGCAAGATTCTCAAGGCTCTCTATACTGCCCTTTAAATCTGATGGATTTGCCCACTGCAGGTGAGTCCAACCAATGAGCTTGACCTGATAACAGTGGACAAGGTTATGATACTACGTGAATTCCATTGTTGTGGAGAGATTATTGTTACAGTAACATGAACATTGTGCGTCATTTCATTCTTCAGACTCGTCTAGACCTGGACCATGGTTATGATCCTATTTCTATCTCTTTTCTTTTTGATCTTGTTGTTCTGAAACACGAGAAGCTCTTGCTTCTACCCCTAGATCATAGAAGCCATGGCTTCTTCTGAACCCTATGCCCTACCCACTGTATCGTTTCTCTCATTGATAGGGATTCCCCATGCCCTTTGCCCTTACCATTCAACTGGTACTTCTTACCCTTTCTTACCTATGACTCATACATGCCCTCAACCCTTACTGCTGCTTCGGTACTACCTCCACTTACCCTGTACCCTTACCGCTCAACTGGTATCTCACTTTACATATATATATCACTTCTCTTGTAGACAGATTTTCTAACTTGAATCTACTTGGATCTCATCTGATACTTGTCATTGGGTCTGAACTTCTCTTGTCTAAGAGAACTCCCTCTGTACACAGAACCATCTTCTCTTGAGACGATACTCTTGAGTTGAACTCCATCTCTTGGATCATATCCTTGAGAAACTCCAATTGACTCTACGCAAGTAAGGGTCTCAACCTTTACTCAGACTTAGTGCAGAAAAGCTTCTTGCTGGGCTAGCGCCAAAGGCCACACTTCAAACACTCCTTGCGGGTTTAGCGCCACCGGATCTCATCCAAGAGGTTTCACATAACAGTTGTTAGTTACCTCGCCTGTATTTTTTTTGTTAGCACAATTTATGAATGTAATCAATATAAAACCTTACATAGTGAGGCACAAAGGCCCATTCTGATAGCTGTTTTAGCCTTAGACACATGATCATGGTGATTGGTGGATGTGTCTAGATGGGCATTAGAAAACATTGTACCATGGTAATATACTCACTCACTCAAGAGTAAACCACTGGCAAGTATAGTACTCTCGAAGTCAGTAGCCAACTGAGCAACATCCTTGTGCAAGTACAAGTGAACAAATTGCTCGGCTGTAGGACTGGTAAAAAATGCTTTGGGAGCCATGGTAAAATCTGAAATGTCTTGGACCATGAAGACTATCACTTCAGTACCAACATGCAGCCTGAGAGCCTCGAGCTAAACATATAAGACTAAGTATCTAACAATACAATTGAATATGACTCACCTCTTCTTTGATGTACTGAAAACTACGACCACATTCAGCAGCACATGTCCGAGCAGTTATGTTTGGAGGACGGTTACTAGCTCCTTTCTTGAGGGCGTTGAACTCAGCTACAAGCTTTGCCTTCTCTGCATCTGTGAGGTCACGGTATTCTGCAGTGTGTTGGACTAAGTCTGCAACATTAGACTTGTCATTGAAGTCCTTGCCTGCCCCGTGTCTTGTCAGTGTTGTGAGGATTATATTAGAAACACGTAGCCTACCTTTGTTACTCTTCAGACCTTTGAAGTGCATAAAGGCATGCCATGCACTCGTCTTGTAGTGTTTGTGCTGGTGAATCGTCGAGCCAAGTGAAAAGTGTTCAACATACTAACAGCATGGCTGTTTGAACTTTGATGCCAATTCAGTGGCCTTTGCATTAATGTAGTTGAGAATGGCTTGAATTTCTTGTTCTTCATCAAGGCACTTGGTGCGCCTGCATTTCGTTAACTACTGATGTACTTCCTTAGACATCTTAACCTGGGGTTGACGTATATGAGAGATGAGTTGATGAGGGTTGTAGGACTGGTTCATCATAAATTTGACAGCATTGAGTTCAAACAAATGAGAGGGGGAGTATGAGCCTGCATAGCAATCCTAGTATGAAAATATATACAGGATCAACCTCCAAACCAAATGCAAATTACAAAATTGAGACCTGGCAATCTTTCAACATGGCATCCACAATAACCTCCGCATCTTCTTGAGAAACATTAGCCTCCTCCTGCAATTTGACAACCCACCTCTTCACCAAGTGCTGATCACAGATCTGGTGACAAACAAGGTGGAAGGTGTCTGGATATCCCAGGCTTTCCAAGATAGTCATAGTCTTGCTGCCAAAAGGGATGATGACTGAATTATTGGATGATGGGGCCAAAGATGCCTGATGGGTAATACAACTCGGGGACATAGATTCCAACATATTGGTGGGTAGAGTTGCCAATGGTACCGCTTGAACACCCTTACACTTCTGGTTTGAGAATGTAACACGAGGATAAGACCATGGTGAAGATGGGTGAGTGTCGGAGTCACTCGAAGACTCAACCATGGTGACATGAGTACCCTATGCAGAGCATTAGTGATTTCATTATAAAAAAATTCCTTCTTACCTTGTTTGTTCCCTGAAGCGAGTGCACTTTGGAGTTTTTCATTGGCGTAATGGGTGCCACATTGGCGGTGACATTAGCACAAATATTGACAGCGCTGTCACTGGCATGATTGCCAGAGCTCTGTACACCAACCTGAGATGCCACCAACGTAATTTGACTATCATAGTGTGGAATGTAAGATAAGATATTCAAGTTGGTTGATAGAAGGACCTCCAGTGAGCAATCTGGGTGGCCTGGAAGGACAAAGTGCAAAGATGATGGTGTGATTGGAGGTGGAATAAGCGGCAATAGGCTAGTCTCTGCCCTGCCTTTGCCTTTAGTAGGAGTTTGCAAACTTCCTGCTCTCCATCCTTTATTAGTACAGGAAAATGCAAAGCTTTGAGCCAGAGGAGTTGCATATTTTGCAAGGAAGAGTTGAGTGATCTCTGTGACCATGGGATGTAGCTTATGGTGCTCAAGAAGGACTTTGGGGTTAATGTAGATATTGGCCTTGAGAGATTTGGGAACGATGGGCATATTTGGAGGTGTGGCACCTGGATGATGCATGACAATGGTTGAACCACCTGTCAGTCGGTCGAGGACGGTGCACTACATATAGGATCAATATGTGCATAGTGTGCCTAATTAAATACTCACTAAATCAAATATATGAGCCATGATTGTCTCAACATGTGTAGTGCATGCCCGCCAATTTTGCATCTTCTCTTCTGAAGATGCCTTTTGATATTTGCTGGTGCCCGTTAGGTAGTGGTCTGTAGTCACAGTGTAGAATCTGTCTTCATCATACTGTAGGTGTTTTCCATCATCATGAAATCTGTGCGCAAGCATTGTTAAGATTGCTGATGGCCATTGTTCACCGAGTCCTGTAATTCCAGATAGACTTGGAGGTACAGGAATCATAGTTAGTGTTTCCTCCAAACCAGTCACAGAAGGTGATCTGTGCAATTGAGTCGAAACTGAAGTACTGGCTTGAGATGACATGATGAGTGTGTAGAGTAGAAATTGTGCCAAGGCTCATCAGTTTATGTAGGTGATGCACCATTACACACATAATTAATAGTGCATGCAACACAAGTAATACTACTCATGGATCAACTTGTGTGAGAGTCATGCTGCAGTGCACACTGCACAAGTCATGCATTTAATTATCACTAGGTACATGCTACTGCAACCTTAAAGAAAAGATGGCGCTGCAAGTTAAATATTGTATCTTTCGTATCTTCGAAGCAACCAACACATATCAAGTCCCATGTCAAGTCTAAGACCACCGAGCTAAGGGTGATTCTTGCTTTGAGATCTATAACCTTGAAGCTAGTTGACACACAATAAAGCAAAGCGCAATTATATCCATGGAGATTCGATAACAAAACTAAAACTAAAACTATGTGGCTATTTCTAAGTCTATGAGATGATGATCAAGTCCTTCGATATAGTCGTGTATCTGCTCGAGTTGCTGCTCTGCCAAGTCCTGGCCATCATTGTGGCCCTCACCCTCACCTATTTCCTCCCCCAATGTAGGCCAATACTCCAAAGGTGGGGACTGGGGAGGCACAATACGACCCTCATGCACACCAGCGCTCATAGGCCCAGTGTACCCTTGGAGGCGCAGAATTTGGTTGATATGGACCAAGTGGCATGTATTAACAGCTTGCAGGTGTGCCCAACAACAACACAATTCAGACACCAGTGGTGGATTCTCCATTGTAAGGTGGGAGATGGCAAGAGGATAGTCGCATAATCACGGATTCTTGTAAGTAAATGTCCAACCTTAACGTTAAGCCAACAAATTTCTTCATTAGCATGCTGTTGCTCGAAGTATTGAGTGGAGGCATGACAGTATGCAGGATTCGCCCAATGTTTGGCTTGAACCACGCCATCTGTTTCACAGAGTAGGTCAAATTCGGCTAGAATAGAGTATTTGACAATTTGTTCCCACTGCAGCGAGGGACAAGGAGGGTCCAATTGTGCAGCACACTTATTGTACCTTTGTAGAGCATTGCAGATGGCATTTGCACGACTCTTGAGCGCAGTCGAGATCTGGGTGCGCAGTTTGTAGCCTAATATAAATATAAATAGTGAGAAATTCAGAGGTTGAATCAAAAGCGTACCTAGTTCACTCATCTGCAATTTTGTCAACTCAAGTAGACGCATAACTACCAAACGCTCCACAACATCAACTGCCTTGTGATAAAGATGGTGCGTGATGCGTGATTGTGCCTTCATGCGCTCAGGGTGGTCTTCTCCCCATTGCATGTCCAATGCCATCTGCCGTTTGTAATCCATGACAACTTCGAGCTTCTGATCACACTTGTTAGCAATGTGAGTGTGGCGCCGGTGTATGATTCCAGCATCTTTTGCTGAAAAAATTGGGCGCAGATCAAGCCTGCTAAACTCTACACATGCTGCTTCATAACTGGCCCTGTTGTACATAATTAAGTTTCCCATCGTGTAGAAATAGACAGACACTTACTGGGCCTCCTCATACTCATTCAAAGCTTTGACATAGTCTACTTCAGTGTTAGTCTCATCTTTCTTGCATGCCAGACATTTGTAGCCTCAGCGTGTGACACTCAGAAATTGACTATGAAACTCGTAGTCATTGAGATAAGGTTTAGCGCTTGAACATAATTGTGATAGATGAAATCCGCTAGATATTCATTAGCCAAGTGTCCTTCCCACAATGAATGACTTACATAGCGCAGCATATTGATCCATATCTTGGAAGAGAAAATGCTCGTCAAGTGCTTGATGACGATGGAAGTCCGTCACATTGCATATATTACTGGCCAGAGCATTTGAGCCTGAAAAAACTCGCTTGCAAGTTTCAAAGTCCTCTTTGCCAGCACCAACTTTGTACTTCAAGTGGTGTTCTACTTGGTAGAGGTGGTTGTGAGTATGTCCATGAAATGCAGGAACTACTCCCTGAAGGTTTAGTTGCTTGGCATCATCTGCTAGTGAGCTCCACATAACAATTTTTTCAAATGCACACTTAATATCATAGCCATATAGGATATTATCATCAAAAATGTCCATGAGTTTCCTGATGCTGGCAATCAGATATTTCATCCTGCATAAGTTGTTACCAAACAGATAGACAGCAAAGACAAAAAAAAGACAAACAGCTCCCTGCTTCGCACCATATCACATATCATGAGTAAGAACCCATGCCGACACACAGCAATAAAGATGCCAGACCTCTTGAAGATGGCAAACATCTTTTTATGAGACTCTGGGGCAGCATTTCGCCAGCGATCAATGCAGACAGTGCTCGGCTCCAATGCGAGTCAGGTTCATCTACCCAAGGGTCATCTGGATTTCGTGGGACACATTGGTTTTGCGTGTGATGCACATGCTGAACCTCATCCTTGAATTGATCTACATAAGTTTCAGTGAGCCAAATTGAAGATAAGCCACATCTTGGGTCACAGCGCTCGTTGCCACTGCATATGGCTGGATCAACAAGCTTCACAGAGTTATTACCATCAAGGGCGCATAGGACTGAATACTTGAGGGGTGGTTCACCCACCACCTTGTACTGACACGCAGGACATGAGTTAAGCATGCACCAATTTGGTGTATCATGACCGAGGGCAGTTTGAAGACGGTTTTCAATGTGCTGCTCAAGTTCAAGGTAAATGTCATAGGCAACTTGTAGCTGTTTGGCAAGTTGTCGCTGATAACACACCTAGTTTAGGTACATATTGGTTTTGATGAGAAGAATGGACTTACATTGTGAAGGAAGGCAAGCTTTTTTGCTTCTGCATTCATGCTGTAACATGGGCACACACGGTGGGTCTGACAAAAGACATCAAGGGTGCAAATTGTTATAGCAAGTGTAGGACGAAGGGGAGAACTGCCAATGCAGCCATATTGGAGTAAGGTAGCATTGATGAAAGGTGAGGCATGATTGAAAGTGCAGGTACTGCGATCTAGGCTACATGAAGTATACGAAATGCTGAGCTCAGAAACTTTGACTCACCAAAAATATCAATCACCTTGATTGAGAATGAACTATTGATGGCAGGGAAGGTGCTGTTGTTTGAGGATGGTGATGGTAGTGAAGAAGCACATCTGTAAGGTTATCATATTGGGTAGACCAATCAGCAAGCTGCTGGGCTACACAACCACTGTGATTGCGCAAGTTGAGGCATCTGCAATACGTTGAATTGAAGTGAGGATAATGAGAGAACAATATGGAGAGAGTGTTATGAATTCCTAATACGAACCATTTTTCATTTCTCAGTTTTCCTTCGGCTACTTCCAGTACCCAAACCAGTCACGTGACTCCTTACCCTGTCACACCTTCACCTCTTCACATATCACCCGTGGTTTCTCCGATTGGCTCCCCTACTCCACGGGCTAGAACAATCTCACTTCCCAAAGAAGAACCAGTTGGAACTTGGGTTTCTGTTTAGTTACCGTCTTACTCAGTCGCTTATATATCATGACATCATACTTAGTCATCCACAGTATCGTACGACTCTTTTCTCATTGGCTGATTTCTTTCAAACTCCTATTCAAATGTTATGTATAAAAGTAGGTTAGTTAGTGTAAGTACTCCTTAGACTTAACCTCTTTGTTCTCTACTATTGTAGTAGGCCTAGACGTTCACGCTCAATACTATCCGTTCTCATCATCATCCTTGACTGAGTCCTAGTGGTTGTTGTCAGACTTTGCCATTCGGTGAACTCTGGTCATAACAGAGAGATGAACAAACCTTGAGTGTTCAGTTGTGATTTGCTCCAGGTCCACATACAATGATACCTCTTCTGCCCCATGACTAAATGAAAAACCCTCTTCCCCAGGAGGAGGAAACATAGTGTCAACATCCATGGTGTAGGAGGCAAGGTCATGTCCATCTGGTGGGGTAGAGGTGTTTGGCATGGACTGCTGGTTTTCAGCACTCAACAACCACTCCTATTCCCTCAAAGACATCTCTAGAGCATGCTGTTAGTACAGAATCAGGAGTGTAGCGAGTCCTACTTTTGAGAAGTGATGCTTGAAGTGCATGGGCCTCTTGTTGATGTTTTTGAATGGCGCCCGCAAATTGCTTTTGAGGTTTGGATCCCCCAACATACATGGTACACTTTCTTGAAACACCACCTACAGAATGACGTGTTGTATGCCCCATCATCTTATAGGACTGGCTGTCGGTGTTGTTGTTGTTGTTGTTGTTGTTGTGAAACTGCGAGTCAGTGTGGTGGAAGAAGTGAGAAGTACAAATTCCCGCGTACCTCCTTGGTGTAAATCAATGTGAGTATGTATGAGCACATGTTAGTGCATAGAGAAGGTGTAGATCCCAATGAGAGTGTGTGTAAAGGAATAAAAATAATACTATAGAATAAAGGAAGAACAATTATGAGGATATGAGTTTGCTGTTGTTGACGACGAGAAGACAGGTGGCAGTGTCCAGCACCAGCGGGTGTGCACCAGTGGTGCTCCCTATGGAAAGAATACAAGTAATGGGCTATAGCACTGCTGGTGTGCACCGGCAGTGCTCCATACAAACAAGTTTAGGCTTTATTAAGTGTTACTAAGATTACCATAGGGCCAGTTGACTAACTAGGTAATGTGGGAAACATAGGTGAATGTCAGAGTGATCAGCATACCCACATTATCAGGTGCAGCATTTTGATCAGACATACAATTCATCTAAAACATCATATTCATCAGACATGACAGCCTATCAGATTGATGGGTGCTCATGAATGTCTGATCTTTAGCTTATCAGATGGGTCAGTGAGTCATTCTGTCAACAGTGCCTTAAGCTCAGGGGCTCAGGATACCCAGCCATACCTGCTCTATCAAAGTAATCAATCTGTGTAGCCATAGCTGATTTTTCAGATTGCCAGAGGGACCAGTGAATCATCCTGTCAACACTGCCTTTGGCTCAGGTACCCAGCCATATCTGCTCTATCGAGATACTCTGTCTATGCAGTTCAACTGAATCCTCAATACTATCTGAATAACAGGCCTGGCAAAATGTCATAATGATCCTTAGTCCAGCCTACCTGAATATACTAGACAGTCAAGCAAATCAGCAAATCAGCAGCCTCATTGGGATACTATAAACAATGACAAATAAGAGTAATTCAAGTATTAGGCCATCAGTGAGATATCAGAACCAGAATCCGACTGAGAGTCTACATCTACACATGCAGTTCGACCATTCACACCCTCACCCCTAGTCTGTAACTGTGTATGGCAAGTTGGTCATTTCCAATGAGCATCAATGAATGGAGCAGCACCCTTGAAGATCTTCTTCCATTTATGATGAGTGGGACCATCAATGGACTCCATGATGAGCTCTGTGCTGTAGCTCCAGAGTCCTTCTGCAAATTGTCACTGAGAAGTCTTGGTTGGTTGAATAAATTTCCCCGTTGTCATATACCGGATCCAAGCACCTCCAATACCACCTGTGAACATCCCCACCCCTGGTCCAACCCCCTGTTTCCTCATCCGCTCCATTCCTCCTTCTCCGACAATGCACAAAGTGCATCTCAGCAGGATTAGCCCTGCTACCTCCGCCCGACCCCGTTCTGCTCCTCCGACTACTACCCCTATGTCCTCCGACACTATACCCCTTCCATCCGACCCTATCTGGGGTTCCGCTCCTCCGCCCTATCAGTCCACCCAATCCTACTCCTACTCCCTCCACTTTCTGACCCACTCGGATCCTTCAGTTCCGCTCACATTGCCCTACCTGACTATTAGTCCGCCCAACTGCCTCACTGGTCCACTCCTAGACTAGGAACCACTCAACTGGTCCTATCCCCATTTAGTATCATAGTTCCGCTTTTTGGATCACTGGTAATCCCTATACCCTAGTGATTATTGATCCGTCGCGTACATACTTTTCTCCGAGCCTTATTCTCACATGTCTCAGTCATCTTCTTATCCTGTACACTCAGCACATAGCCTTCCGCTATGCTATGCTAATTACTTAGAGTATATAAACATATGTACATCTGTCTGTAGATACTCAGTCTGAATATTACCTTTTCTAAGCCCTGCTCTTCTGTTCTTTGACTTGGGCCTGATCCTAGTCAACTCCTGATAGCCAGCCTAGGGGATTGACTCCCTAGGTCAGCCACCCTCCAATCCTCCAATCCTCCAATCCTCCATTCCCCCATTCCCCTGTTTCTCCGTTTCCCTGCTCCTCTGTTCCCCCATTCCCTCATTCCCCCATTCCCCCGTTCCTCTGCTTGTCCGACTTCCCATGTGTCGGAACTAAACCCCGCACTCTTGCATCCTGTTAGATACCGTGCCGACTCAGGAAGCAGAGGGGTCGGGGCTTGGCTTCAGCTCATGTGCTGTGCCCTTAGCCGAGTACGTGCCCCGAATTTGGAGTGGGTCCGACGTTGTCCGATGGTAGGACAATTGGTCCGCTTTGGTCTGCTCTGAGGGTCGGGGAGTAAGAGCTACTAGCGGTGGGCCGACTAGAAGCGGAGCGGAGAAGGTGGGGAGTGATGCGGAGAGGGGATAGGAGCAGGGGAATGTTGGTAGGGGCAGGAAAGGCGGAGGATAATGCAGAGGGGCGAAGGAGGATATTTGATAGGGGCAGAGTAATAAGGGGAAGACTTAGCACAGCTCTAAGTTGGAGCGGAGGGTCAGAGGGTCGGAGGTGACAACAAGTTGAGACTTGTGTCCAGGGGAGGCAAGGTTCTACTGAGAATTCTCACAGGATATAACTGTGAGAAGACAAGCAATATTAAGACTGAGGAAAAATATCTAAGTACATGATATGTTATATACTACTATGTATGAGGCAGTGATCAGGATAACTATGCAGTAATGCTATGTACCAAGGATATAGTTTGTAAGTATTTTACATAGGTGAAGACATAAGTCGGGGCGGATATCAATATGTATGCATCGGATCAGCAATTGAGCGGTAATAGGAATTACCAGTCATCCGGAAGTAAGGGTCTATGTACCAATAGGGAAGGCATATATCTAAAAGGGGAAAGAGCTCCAGTTGAATGGAGAGGTTATGGAAGGGGACCGGTTGAGCAGTTGAGCGGAAGTGTAGGGCGGAATGCGGACTTGTGATAGGACGGAGCGGAGGATGAATGGGGTGGAGGGATCAGAAAGCGGAGCGGATATCAATATCAGAGCGGTCGGATCAGGTATATGACACATCTGTCCCCTCTGTTCCGCTCTGTGTCGGACTTCATCCAAGCAGTCCCTTCCACTCCACTCCTACTGTTGGTTCCAACCACAGTAGTCTCCCACATCCCTTCTGTCAGGTGGAAAAACCCCCACCCGACTTTCCTGCGCTCACCTAGTAGTCCATCATTCCTCTGAAGGAGGACCCCCGTTCCGACGTCCTGTCGGAACTCATAGAACTTGTGTCAGACTACATTCCGAAATTAGGGGCACGTACTCGGGTAAGGGGCGCAGCGTACGAGCTGAAGCCAAGCCCCTCAGACTCTGCTTTACCCCTGAGCACGGTCTTAACACCCGTCTTCCACATTTTCCACATTTGTTCAACCTATAGACAAGTATTGGCATGATGGTATTGAGCAAGGAATAAGACATACTGCAACTGTGGCAATAGACAATACACCCTTCGACATTTGCTCACAATGGTATTCAGTTGGGAGGCAGTGCACCTGCTCGAGATAGAGTGCAAACATATTGAGAATGCATTGATCTTCGAAAGCTCCATAATAATTCTGTCAATGACATCAGTAACTGACTCGGTATAAATAGTGGTACTTGCGTCAGGATTTTTATCATCTCTGCGATACTCTTTCCACATATAAGGATAGATTGGGGGATTGATGAAGACCTTTTGTCCTTTCTTGTTGAACCATGGGATTTGCTTGGGAACTATGTATGCAACTACTTGTTGCATCTCATCAGACATTCAGCCTTGTTCCTTGATATACTTTGTGATTACAATCATTTCATGCTCTCCAAAGTTGCTACGATAGTTGTATGCACATTGCATCAACTGCATAGTCAAAGTCGTTACAACAGCCTGCATGAGTCGAAGTGGAGTACTTACAATTTTGTATACTGGGTCCTTTGACTTGGAAACAGTGTGCTTGATGTCTGGCAATGCAAGGTCCCATATATTTTGCATCTCATCAGCAAAATCGGAGATATCCCACATGTTGTCAAGCATGGAAATAAAATCAATCCACATCGGAACAATGAGAGCATCAAAATTACGGTGTGAGCCTGAGGGAAGGTCATTCTTTGTGAATTTGACACGAGTATGTGGCATTCATGATGATTCATCATCACCGTCATTGCCGTCATCATCATCATCACCATTGTTATTGTCATCTTCGGTGTTATACTTGTTACTGTTGCATTTGGACTGTGGTGCATTTGTAACAAACTAGAAAGAACATCAGTGAAGTCAAAGAGCAAAAATAAACCTTACTTTGCCAGAGGGAGGATTGTATTTCCCTCATTGCCTCTGATGTCCTGTGGCCCTGTCATTACAATGCTCCCAATCCTCATTGCTGCTGTATCCATGATCCTTGAAGTGTGTTTTATCCCCAGCATTAGACTAGACAGACATGAATAAATGTGAGGGACAAAAGGAAGTTGAATTACCTTGCTGGAGCCAGTCTTCGATCAAACCAGTGTGGGGAACGTCCCCACTGTAGGCCCGTATCCCATATAATTCCCATGCCTTACCACCATCTTCCTGTGCATTCCACTACCATCCCGCTACCCATCCGCATCTTCCCCGAGCCATCCGCTACATGGAACCCAGCGGAACAATTGTGTACCACACGCATTATATCTGTTTAGCCTTCGGAACGTCCTCCATCCTGTCCTTGTCCTTCCATCCTCGCTGGTGAGTACTAGCTACGTTCCCCATATTACTAACATGTTCCTATCTGATTTCATATGTGTTACAGTACTTATACGGATCCTTCCACTACTCGGGACCAGTTCCTTATCTCACAGCCTCACCCGGTTGTAGCATAGCGCATTTCAGAACCCCTTCCTATATAGGTAGCAATGGATGGGATCTTAGTTTTTTACCTTCTGATAGACTTGACTCCACTTCCACTTGCAGAGTACTTCCCAGTACTCCACTCACTGTCTAAAATATCTTCCCAAATCTATTCCTGATCTCATTGCAATGTTCCCGCCCCTGTGAGTTCTGCTTGAAACACCCGACATCAGATCCGACGACTTGGAGCAAGTACCAGACACAAGCCTGGTCCGACTTTGCCCAATCATCCTCCTGCAGGCTTGTAGTTTCTTTTCACTCCATTAGTTCCCCATTTGTTCCATTTGTTCCCTGTTTTTTCTGTTTGTTCCGCGTTAGTTCTGTTAGTTCTGCGTAGTTCCGCATGTTGCGCATTAGTTCCACATGTCACACGCTGAGTTCTGCTCGTCGGGAACCTTCCGCATCTTTGTGTTCTCAGTCCTAGTAAGGAATGGAATCCTTCAGGTCGCTAGACAGAGTCTAGTCTTTGCTTTCCTCGCACTTATTTGAGGACCCACTACCCAGTAGCAATCCCCTCGGGACGAGTATTAGTCTCACACCCTTGTTAGACATCTGAATCACCCCAGAGTCTATTTTCCTCACCCACACCAGTTGCATGGAATTGGTTGTTGAGCCCTGATGTTTGGGAGTAGGGCGAGTGATTGTGTAACCAACTACTTTAAACTGAAAGGTCGCAATCAGTGAGATTAACGAGTTGCAGATCAAAAATATGCGCACCTTCCACATGTAAGGTCTTTCTCAGATTCTGGGTGGGTACCATCATCCTGTTCCTCACCATTATGCATGTCCTTGCCCTCCAAAGGAGGACGTGAAGGTGGACACAAAGGAGGACACAAAGGAGGACATGAAGGAGGATGTGAAAGAGGCTCATTGGGGGGTAGGGCGAGTTGATGTTGCTGTGGAGGTTGCTTGGGCTGCTTTGTTGGAGGGAGGATTCTAAAGTAAAGACAAATGAGTAGTTAGCACACTGAAAGATATGCACAAAGAAGAAAAGAAAAAATACCTTGATTACTTGAACCATCAAGGGTGTCAACAGAGGGTCTTGTTCTCCTTTATCAGGTTCAGGCGCCTCAGGCTGCTCATCATTATTGAGTTGTCCTCAAGACTGCCTGGATGGACAGTATTTCCGGATGCAGGTGAGCCTTAATTTTGAGTTAATCAATTGAAAAAATGAAGTCAAGTGAACTAATACATACCTGTTCCACTGGCAGCCTGCACAGATCTTGGTGCAGCACCAGGTTTTTGACTGTGATTTGGAACCTGCGTGGATATGACCTGACACCAGTTGTTAACCATGCCACTCCAGGGTGGTTGTGAGGAAACCAGAAGGTCATCCTGCTTGAGTTTTTTGCTGGAGGGCCTGCATTTCGATGGCAAGGGCGTTCACAGGAGGGAGCATGACATTGTCACAGTGTTGACAAGTGTTGATTGGTTGAAAGTCAGCTTTCTTGAGCGCTAATCAGATTATCATTACTCACTCTCCATCTTCACTGCCAGTGTGGCTCCTGCCCTTTTGCTGCTTCCTTCCAATGCCTCTGACATTGTCAACATCGCTGTCCACCACAACTACATCCTCCTCATTCTCTGCCCTGCCCTTCTGTTGCTCCATAGCCCTCTCTTTGGCAGCCTCAATATTTTTGCGCACCTTCTGAGCCTTGGTGACCTTAGCGCCTGGCTTGTTGGATCCTGCTGGTGAGTCGCTGTTTTGGACCCCATGTTCATTATTCTGATCATTGTCTATCAGCATCACATCCTCTATGATTGTCTCATCAGCTGGGTCCCCAAGTGCAGAGACTAATCCATCATGTACATATATCCCCTGCTTTGCTTTTTGCTGTTGACCTGGTCTTACTGCTCAGCTTTTGAGGTACCTTTGAGACCTTTGACATGGGGGGATGATTCACCTGCAACAAGTCTCGTCCATCCTTCTCCATCATCTCAAGCTTGAGCTAAGCTATTGCTTCTGTCACTACAGCTTTCTTAGCCTTCTGATATCTTCTTGGTGCTGGCTTCTTCATGGGGAGCTGATGGTCTCTGATGTTGTCCTTGTCATCACTGTCCTCTGTGTTCTGTTGTTGACTTGCAGGTAAGTCTACCTTGCCCAGATGCTTCAACTTGTTTGACAGACAAGTTGAAACCATTGTCAATAGTTAGGACGTGCTCACACCCATGTAAAAAGCAAGTTGAAGTTCTGCCACAGGATTCAACTATTAACTTCAGGTGCACACAACTTTCTCACAAGAAAACACTGTAAGTTGTTTGATGCTCTATGTTCAAGTTCTTTTGTCTCTGATCTGATATAATAAGCCAGACTTCAGCTCAAACACATAATGACTGAGCCAACCTCAGAATTCTGACCATACAAATACTATTGTGTCAACTCTAAAGTTTCCACCTGTCAATGTGGTTTCAAGACATTGGATGGATACCGACAGCATTGCAATGTCATACACATTGAACCTCTACGTCCCACCTGCCCTCATCAACATCCATTTGTCAATGACAAGAATGAGCTGGAAGAGATGCCTCAGGGCACCTACTTCACCTACCATCCAGTGTTAGATGGCACACCATGTGATGCTGAGGGCAATGATTCACCTCTGGACCACCCACCTCACCTAGAACACGATACCTGGCATCCTTTTCCTTCCCATGGCCATTTTGAGCTTGCCGACTTCATCTTCCGTCGCAATCAAATGCCTGCAAAACAAATAGACGACTTGATGCAGGTCCTTGCACATTTTGATGAGACTCACAGCCATCCACCTTTCAATAGCAACACCCATCTTTATGATACTATCAACTCGATCTCTTCACACAATGTTCAGTGGCAGTCATTGTCTCTCCAACATCCTGACTTTGAGATACTCCAGAATGATCCTAACACTGCTCCATGGAAACATGTTGAGTATGATGTTTGGCATCGAGACCTGCATGAGCTGCTGCAAAACCAGCTTTCAAACCCTGAGTTTGCTGGAGGCATTGATTATGCACTGTGACAAGTCTTTTGCGAGCAGGGTCAGTGGGTATGAACAGATCTCATGACCAGAAATTGGGGATGGGGCCAATGTGTGAGTGACCAGTTGTAATTTGTGGGCCAGTGTTAATTAATATGATTGTAGAATACCCTTGCAGATGATCCAGACTGTCATGGTGCTATTTTCATGCCAGTTATTCTCAGCAGCAACAAAACTACAGTCTCTGTAGTGACTGGTCAAAATGATTATTATCTGTTATATGTATCTGCCGGCAACCTTCACAACATCATTCAATGTGCACATTGAGAATCTGTGAGTTTGGTTGGTTTTTTATTGATTCCCAAGAGTACGTTCCATTTGAATATGATACAAATATCCATTAACCATGCATCTATTAGCTGAACAAGGTCATAATGGAAGCAAAGAGTTTTGAAACTTCCACCGTCATCTATTCCATGTATCATTAAGGGCAATTCTTGAATCTTTTGTCATGCAATGGAAAAGCCAGAGATTGTTAAGTGTGTGGATGGCCACTATCAACATGCAGTCTATGGTCTTGGACCTTATATTGCAGATTATCCCGAACAACTGTTGTTATTGTGCGTTCTTCAAAACTGGTGTCCACAGTAAGTCAGTTTCTGCTGCTCAAAGAGTACACTTCAAATCTAATCTGTACTAGGTCATTGACAGTGGGATTGCTGATAAAGATCACACCTTCATACAAAAACTCTCAAGCAGGATTTTTTGGCACTAGACATGTGGTTCAGGTGGGGTATCATTGATGATATTTTGGTAGGCCTTATCTTGTAGTAGTAGTACTCAAGTCTTATTGAGTTGCAATAATTTTGTAGCCCTTTACAACATATTTTCTGTGTGCCAATATCCATGAACTTCTTGCCCCCAATATTCTTCATCAGATTATCAAGGGCACCTTCAAAGACCATCTCGTCAAGTGGGTTGATGAGTACCTTAGGATAACATATGGCAAAGCACAAGCTGAGTTGATATGGGCTGATATTGATCATCAGTACTAAGTGATATCTAGTTGTTTCCTGAATTATTGTATTGACCTAGTAATTGCTAATTTGAACACTCAGTTGTTCTTCACCAAAGACACCAGCATATAAGGCCTAGGTGGAGGTTTAGGTTTAGAATTGTAACATGGATCCTTCCAGTAAGCTCTATCTCTCCTGTATTACAGCATTGATCTTTGACTCATTGATACTGAAACAGCCAATATCATTGATGAATCAGAAGATGAAGATGATGCAGAGGTGAACTTCTTTGGCATAGGCTCTGGTGGTGGAGCAGTAACCATGGTAGGTGACTGTTTGCCTTCTAGACTCAGACTTGAAGCTGAGCCCAAATTCAAATCTGTTTGGCACCTGGCACAATTCTGACCTTACTCCATGAGGCATCTAATTCCCTCTCTTTGGTAATTAATGTGCACATCCCAATCTGGTTTGCCTATGTAGGCATTGCTAATGCCAATCACTAGTCCAAACCCACTATCAGGGCTGAGGCTTCTCATGGGGCTTTCCGCACCCTCACATTCATGGTCAGAGTATGAAGATGTTTGAGTGATACTGCAGTCAGCCAGGGTGACCATGATGTGTACTTGTGGCAGCGAACCAGCTGGCTGTGATTTACTTTTTTTGGTGCATGATGGTTCAAACTGCCACTACACCACGTCAATTCATACTGATAGCAGAGGTATTTTGTACCATACTCATCTTAATATCCTGTGATTTGTTCTATCCTATATGCACCACTTTGAACAACATCAGGAAACCCGAGTTTTCCCTGATTTGGCTGATGTGACTGTATGACATGACTGGTCTGATGTCAGATCTATTAGAGCATTAGGATGTCAAACTAACAGCCAATTAGTAATATCATATACAAAATGATCACAGTCCAACAGAATATTATAATGGTCAAACATATCAGACAAAGTAGTCAATCTTATTCATAGACTATCATGGTTGTCAAACACAGCAGGCTAAGTAGGATATTAGTCTCTCAGGACCACTGGCCAATGAAACTTATCAGACCATGTCAGAATGCAGTTATGACAGAATTTTAATATTGTTAGACCTACCAGATATATCATAAGCACAGATATATAACATAACTGGTTAGTCAGACACATCAGTGTGATCAAACACTCAGATATTCAACCTATCTGATGGTGCAGACACCTCAATAACAGCAGAACCCCAGTCTGGCATGTGTTTCCAGTCATCATAATGTCAATGTTAACAGATTCAAATGATATCAGACAACTCAGCTACTTCAATGCAATTCTGCAGTTCTAGTCTCTCCATGTATCAGAATATCAAGTATATCAAGTCTCTCATTCTATTCATATCTCAGCTGCTCAGAGCATCCAAGCTATCAGTGACACTTGTATCAGCAAAATCTCACATGTCCTTTTCAGTCTTATTGTGTCATGTGTGTCAGTGGGTGGAGATGGTGGTAGGTTGTCTGTGCCATCAAGGAGAGACTCTAAGAGAGCAGCGAGTGGGTGCCTGCACCATAATAAAGGTCAGAAATGAGAGGGGTGCATGGCCTCACCAATCCCAAACTCTCTTCATGCCCCAAAACCACACAAATCCCAAACTTTTTGCCTTAAAAACCATACTACCTGGCAGGTCAGGCAGCAGAGTTGGGAGGGTAGAACTTTTTGCCCCCAAAACCATACAAACCCAAAACTTTTTGAGATATTCTGGTGGTCAGTACCCATGGTGCAGATTTTGTCCCTGAGTTCTTCCGAGTTGCTCTACTTCATCCACTCCTCCCATCATCTCCAGCAGTCAGGTAGACTGGAACAAAAACACATGTTCAGCTCTATAGGGTCCAAGGCCACTATTTATGCATTCACATACACATCAAACCCTTGAGGCAAAAGTGCTTGGAAGCAAGCCAAAACTTGTTTGCCCCTGTCCTCACACTAAAGGTAAGATGGCCTACCTTATGACCTGCAGAGGGTATACCCATGGGTATCTAGTATGTAGTAATACAAATACTAGCTAGTAGCTACTAGTACTAGTATTGAATCAAAAGGCAATTTCAAAGGCATGATAATCTGAAAACTTATTGACATAAAAGGTCACAAAAGCAAGTAAAGAATCAGAATGTTGCATATTATGATCAATGTAATTATTATCATAGATAGGAATCAAGTGTGCTGGATGCAAAATTGTGTCCAAGTGAATTACTGAAATAAGACGCTGACCATTGGCATCAAACTCTGGCTCAAGCATCCACATACCAGTGTTAGGACATGGCTGATCACCAATAGTTTCAAACCAACGGACAAGCACACAAGGATAATCAACTCCACGAAAGTAAAAAGAGAAAAAGAGAATGACTTGAGCAACATACAGACTGTGGAATCCTGGTAATGTAGGGTCATGTTCAACAAAAACACAGTCATGACAAGCAGGTCCATTATTCCAAGTTGGTGTTGAGTGGATGATATGACATAGCATACCATTGACTCCACAAATATCACTAGGAGCATAAAATGATGCAACTGCAGAATGAAAAATATGTACCTTGCCATTGAAGTCTGGACAAAGGGACACATCCATCTCACGCCCAGGGATAGGATGATCAGGATTTCACTGATCATGTAGGAATTGGCATACAAGATCATGGAGATTTAGAACACCAATGAATTAGCCAATAGCCTGTAACCGAGTTGGATGATGAAACACTCATTGACATTCTACTCAATGAATGTGCTCAAAATAATGAACAAATTACACACCTTGATCTTTCTCATCTGCAAATGCATCTGTCAAATCTTCATCATCTCAACAATTTTCATCATCCAGATCACCAATAGAGTCAGAGTCAATAGCAATGGTATTAGTTGGCAGTAAAGGATGGCTAAGAAGGCCTGCAGCAAACTTCTCAGCCCAAAATTGAGCAAGTTTATCAAGACGTTGATTAGTCACAAGCATTTGACCTAGTGCAAGATAGCCACTGGATTTTCACCAAGGCTCCTTGACAGCCTTGGAATGCTTTAACTCAGTAAGAGAGGAACATAAACCATTTGGTGCACCAAATTGTTGGATCAGATAACAATAATGGCAAAGAGAGTGTTGACAAGGCAAGGAGACCCCATTAGGTCTAACACCTGTGTCCACAAAGATGCTTCACTTGTTATGAAAGCGTAGGAGGACAGCATCAAGAGCATTTAGATCACCTTTATTCAGACTTGAATGTCAGACTATATAGCAGAAGTCCAAAAAGGCACTAATTGCTTGAACCATTTTATCTGGGACATGGCCAGCAATGGCTGGTAGAAAGACCTGTAGCTCATGTATTAGAAACCAGAGTAACTGAATAAAATTTTGTTTTTACCTTCATTAGTACCTTTGAATCATCACCCATCCACTACTTGAATCCTCGGCACTGTATCTCATCAATAGTCACCAGTCACCAGCAATATCATACTCATCAGTCATCAGACCCACCACCCAAGTACCTCACTTTCAGATACTGCTGTATGAGCACATGAATCAGAACAGGAGTGATAAGCATCTCCATTGAATCAATCATCACCATCACCTTCAGAGTAGTGAGAGATACAAAAAATGGTGCAGCTGCAAGAGTAAATGTAAGTTTTGTGAGAAACATTGTGAATATATATATAGTAGATATTCTCATAATGCATGGGGTCGGGACCATGAAAATTTTATGCATTATGAGCTATATGCAACACCAAATATATCACGTTATTGTGACATTCATGACCTTCACCAAATGTGTGACAGTAAAGTATCTGCAAGTATATGTATTATACTGAGAAAATTTGATCTAAAGAAGCCTGCATTGCAGTCATTAGTTGTTTTTGTTGTAGGCTAGCATGGAAAATGCAAAGTTGTGATGACAAGGCCAGAGAAAACTGAGGGTCATCATACTGCATGCAGCCAACCTCAAGCTGCTGACACATATCAAGGATCTCTGTGTGTGTGATTGACAGATGCATGTCATTGTCGCTGTTGTCATCAGAATCAACTTCAATAACTTCATTTGCAGCAACAATCTTGTGACAGCCCTCATCTGCAATGGCTTCATCACCACCTTCAAACATCAAAAATTCTCCCATATCTCTCTCCTTGGCATGGTCCAAAATCTCCTCAAGTGATGGTAATTCACTGAAGATGCGGTTCCAAGTCTTGAGGTTGTTGACTGATTGCATAAGCTCAGCTTCAGCAGATGACAGCTGGTCAGGTCTTGGGCATGCAGCAGTGGGAATTGCAGGAATTGTGGGAATCCAAATTTTGAGGCCAGTGCAACAAGATGCTGCTTGCTTAAGTGCTTCAACAGCATTCAAAGCAATCTTGGTGTCTCCTTCAGCATCTATAACAGCTTTGAGTGCCAGTCTCCAATCAGAATCTAGGTAGCGCTCGCCAAGACAAGCCTGTAAGTCTCGCTCGGCATTTGGGAGGGACATTTCTGTCATTGCAAATATATAGACAATCTTCCATGCCACTGGATCAATGTGAGGTTGCAGATCACTGGCAGTTGTTGGATCACTGTCAAGACTTGATTTTGAGCACTGAAAAGTGGGAATGAAGCACAATTTGACTCACCACTGTATTTGGGTGTGATTCCAGTAGTGTTGGATGGTTTTGGACGTCACAGCATTCTATGCTTGCTTCGCCATTGTCATTCCTTCAAGAACATCTAGTTTGTAAATATTCTATTCTCTGGCTTTATTAAGATCAATAGCACAGGCACAAAAATTATGCTGATATATGGCCTTAAAGCATCAAATGATTCTAGCATTGCATGGCTGCACAAATGGTGTCATATTGGGCTGAAAAAACTCAAGATCAATATTTGATGGCTGATATGAGATGCTGTGCATGGTGAAATTGTCAATAAACAAACAAATGTGCAGTTTCTATTGTTTCATTTGAAGATCAAGCCTTTTAATCTATCTAGTTCACCAAGTTTAGTGTCAATAAAGTGGAAAGATCATAGCCACATACTCCTCAAATAGAGATGATGTCATCCATGCCTTCTTATTGTTCCAATAATACAATCCATGTTGTTCTGGTGACTGTTTCTTGAAGCATTGTGGTTTTGTTGCTCTACCAATGAAGAATGGCTCCACCTTCTCACTTCCGTCTGAATTGCAGGCTAATCCAATAGAGATGTGGAATTTTTCTTTCTTCTTTCCACTCATCTGTTGTGTTGCAAGGCCATAGTCAGGGGGTGCACTATAATCATTAATCAGGCACTGAAGGTTAGGGAACAGAATGCACACTCACTATGGATGTTACAGTAATATGAGCGTTACATGTTATTTCATTCTCTTCATTCTGTTGACCACCGACATGTGGCTAAACTGTGTAAACCCGTCTAAGACCTGGACCATGGTTACAATTCTATTCTTTAGAAGAAGCTGTGGCTTCTCCCGAACCCTATGCCCTACCCTTGCCTTTACCACTGTATCAGTTCTATCTTTGATGGGGATTCCCCATGCCCTTTGCCCTTACTGTTCAACTGGTACTTCTTACCCTTTCCTGATTATGACTCATACATACCCTTGACCCTTACCAATGCTTCGGTACTATCTCCGCTTACGCTTGACCTTTACCATTATCTTGGTACTGCCTCCGCATATCCTGTACCCTTACCATTCAACTGGTATCTCACCTTATGTATATATACCACTTATCTTGTAGATAGATTCTCATCTTGTACTTGTCTTTGGGTCTGAACTTCTCTTACCTAAGAGAACTCCCTCTGTGCAAAGAACCATCTTCTCTTGAGATGATACTTTTGAGTTGAACTTCATTCTCTTGTATTGTATCCTTGAGACTTGTCATATACTGGATCCGAGCACCTCCAATACCACCTATGAACATCCCCACCCCTGGTCCAACCCCCTGTTTCCCTGTCCGCTTCATTCCTCCTTCCCTGACAATGCACGAAGTGCATCTCAGCAGGATTAACCCTGCTACCTCCGCCCGACTCCGTTCCACTTTTCCAACATTACCCCTATGTCCTCCGACCCCATACCCCTTCCATCTGATCCTATCTGAGGTTCCGCTCCTCTGCCCTATTGGTCCGCACGACCCTACTCCTACTCCCTCCGCTTTTCTGACCCGTTCGGTTCCTTTGGTTCCGCTTGTGTTGTCCCACCCAACTATTAATCTGTCTGACCACCTCACCGGTCCACCCCTAGACTAGGAACCACTCAACTGGTCCTATCCCCATTTAGTATCATAGTTCCGCTTTTCGGGTACCCGGTAATCCCTATACCCTAGCGATTATTGATCCGTCGCGTACATACTTTTCTCCGAGCCTTATTCTCACATGTCTCAGTCATCTTCTTATCCTGTACACTCAGCACATAGCCTTCTGCTATGCTATGCTAATTACTTAGAGTATATAAACATATGTACATCTGTCTGTAGATACTCAGTCTGAATATTACCTTTTCTAAGCCCTGCTCTTCTGTTCTTTGACTTGGGCCTGATCCTAGTCAACTCCTGTTAAAGCCGGCCTAGGGGATTGACTCCCTAGGTCAGCCATCCTCCAATCCTCCAATCCTCCAATCCTCTGTTCCCCCATTCCCCCATTCCCCCATTCCCCCATTCCCCCATTCCTCCATCCCTCTGCTCCTCTGACTCCCTGTGTGTCGGAACTAGACCCCACACTCTTGCATCCATCCCCTCCGTTCCGCTCTGCCTGTTTCCCCATCTGCTTCATCCCTCCTTCTCCAATAATGCATGTAGTGCATCTCAACAGGACTAGCCCTGCTACCTCCACCTGACTCTGTTCCACTCCTCCAACACTACCCCTATTTCCTCCAACTCTGTACTCCTACCATCTGCCCTTATCTGGAGCTCCACTCCTCCACTCTGTCGGTCTGCCTGATCCTACTCCTACTCCCCCAACCATTTCCACTTTTCTGACCCACTTCATTCCTTCAGTTTCCCTTGTGTTGGCCTGCCCAACTATTAGTCTGCCCAACCACCTCACCAGTCCACTTCTAGACTAGGAACCACTCAACTGGTCCTACCTCCTTTTGGATCACCAGTAATTCTCGTACCTGAGTGATTATTGATCTGTTGTGTACATATTGTTCTCTGAGCCTCTGACTCATATGTCTCAGTCATCTTTCTAGTAATTCTGTACACTCAGTACATAGCTTTCTGCTATGCTATGCTACTTACTTCAAGTATATAAACATATGTACATCTGTCTGTAGATCTTTAGTCTGAATATTACCTTTTCTAAGCCCTGCTCTTTTGTTCTTGGACTTGGGCATTTCCCTTGTCAAACTCCTATTTGCTGGCCTAGGGGATTGACTCCCTAGGTCAGCCACCTTCTCTGCTCAGCCAACTTCCTGTGCCTCAGCCACCTTTCCTGCACATCAGACTTGAGCCCAGGGCTCTTGTACGTCTGTCCTCTTTGTTTCTGCTCTGCTTTGGACTTTATCCGAGCAGTTCTTTCCGCTCCGCTTCTACTGTTGGTTCTGACCACAGTAGTCCTCTGACTCTCTCCTGTCGGGTGGTCCAACCCCCACCTGACTTTTCCATGCTAAATATGGTAGTCCATTGGCCCTCTGAAGAGCCTCTGCTCTGATGTCCTGTTGGAGTATGTAGCACTCATATCAGACTACAATCTGAAATTAGGGGCACATACTCAGGTAAGGGGTGCAGCGCATGAGCTGAAGCTAAGCCCCTCAGAATCTGCCTTATCCCTGGGCATGGTATTAACAGTCATACAACAACGCAAGTGACGTTTAGGCTCCCATTCTTATCCAAATATTATCCTCAAATTTGACACAACATTCTTGGTCAGATGCCCCCAGCTCGAGCAAAGTAGGTCTCCTTTTCAGAGCCACTGTCAATAACTGCCACTAACCTAATATACTAGTAAAGCAAAGCGTAGTATTCATCCCAAATGCCCAGCCCCAAAGCCTACCCCGCCTTTCAAACGCCCGGCCCCCAAGCCTATCCCACCTTTCAAATGCCCTGATAGTGATCATGTAGCACGTGGATGGGGTCCACACTGTTATACAAGTATAACGGTAAGTTATATGAAAACCTTGATACCGCTGAATGCTGACTAGTCCGCAGAACCCCATACCAGGTGACGAATCTGCGAAAATGTCCCCCATCTCCTCCCAAATAACTGGCAGACTAATGGAGTTGAAGGAGCACCAGATTCATATCGTCGAATTTTTGAACCCGGATGGAGCTCATGTCGCCAGTAAGGACCTAGAACTACTTGAGAGGAGATTGGACGGATCCCTAGTCCCCATACCAGAATCTCGGATGTTCCCCTCCTTCACCCACTTATACTTCATTGCCTTGGACGACAGGGTTTATGAAGTACGTTTTGGCAATCACATTGTTTCCACCATTTCCTTCCCGTGATTGAGTACAGTGGTGGTGAGAAACAAAGCAATAAACTGATTAATCATGAGATAGGGATGAAATCATTGCATGACTGCCTGTCATATACCAGATTTGACCACTTCTGACATCTCTCGCATCTTGGTCAGTTTACTTCCCTTATCAGTTACATTCAACTGAACCTTTCCCCATTGAGTATATATTTTCTCCTTTCAGTACATAGCCATCTCTTTCAGATCATTGGTCATTCCTATAGCTGTCTGATTATTGATCTGTCTCATACATACTCAAACTCCAGACACAAGTCTCACATTGTTGTCACCTCCTTTCCTCCGTTCCAACTTAGAGCCATTCTCTAGGTCTTCGCCTCTCATCCCCTCCACATTCGAATTTGGGGCACATACTTGGCTAAGGGCATAGCACAAGAGCTGAAGCTAAGCCCCAACACCTTTGCTTCTCCATCCAAGCACAGTATCTAATACTGCCAGAATTCATTCATTGCGTGAAGTGAATAACTACTCAGGTTACCTTAACATTTTCCAGATGACTCTCAAGCTCTGTTGAGTACATTTTTGCAGATAAATCAGAATAAATCAAAAAGGGATCCATTATACAGTCATGATGATCCAGTGGGAGATGTCTCTGTGCAGCAAACAACAATTCCCCTGTCAGCATGCCATAGATGTATTTGATGCTGGCAGGGACAGGGGTCAATGTCTGGTCTCCTCAGGGGTAGAAGAGAATTTGGCTGTTCCCCAAGTGAGTTGATGCCCTACTGTATATGACACCATTGAACTTAAGTGTGGCATATAGTATTGCTGTCTGTTGTCTCAGGAGGGTATATAGGTCATTAGACACAGTACTAGTCATTGCACAGTTGAGCACCTGAATAACATCATTCATGGGGTCCTCAGCAAACTCTTGGCTGGAATGTTTAGTGCTCTTAGGTGCATATACTCTATCAAAGATGTCGCTACACTCTTGAATAACAGGAAGATGATCTGGTTGAACAAGCCAGTGGCAAAACATTATAATCTTGACATATGAATGAAGCATTTTGTTCTCTAGCTCCCCTTAGAGACCATTAGTCCACTTGCTTGTTCCATATTCTCATAGTGACCTACAAAATTTGTGATTTACAGGAAGCCATTGGAGTATTCTAATCAGGTGCTCAAAAGGAAAACACCACCACAAGGGGGCAGGACCAAATAGGAGTAGGTAGTCATATATATGGAAAGCTACATGGTGGTTTGGATGCAGAGAGGAGGTAGGATGGATCTCCTTTAACTTTCTGGTGTAACCAACAATGTACAAACAATAGGTTTGTGCCCTTCTTGCAGTCATCATTCAAGCACATGCAGCATAAACTGCACAGACCAGTTCTATAGTATGATCAAGAATAGTTCTGAGGTGGGCAGTGAGTTCAGGAGAAGAGTATGAAGTATCGGCTTCCCAAAAGCTTATAAGGGCAATGGGAAGGTAGACTATAATGAGTGTTTGTTATTTATCAGTCTTGAGTGTCCCAGCAGATGCCTCACCAAAATTACTTGAAACTGAACCCAACCAAGTAGGGATGAATGTATCTTTGAAGTCAAACCAAGGAGACTACAAATGTGATATGGGACTAGGAGGCCTTCTAGTACATTGGATCAAAAATAAGTAGGGTTTGGATAGCATACTTTTTCAGCCTGGTACCCCTGATTAGGCCATGTGTGAACCAAATGGATTACAGTGGTAGCCTCTGACATAAATGCATTACCATGGTATACATATTCAATGCCATAGAGTGTAAATAGCTTGCTGTCTTAGGATAGAGTAGCTATGCCACTTGGGGTGCTGCTGTCTTTCATATACTATAATAGAACATTAGCTTTATTATGATATCCATCATAGCAACTCCAGTGAATGCCAAGGTGATGGAGAAGTAACTGCATGCTCACCAACATTTTGTTGAGTAAGTTTAGCTATTTTAATAGTAAGATTATGTTGTCAAAAGGTAATAAAAGCACACATGTATCCTATCAAAATAGATCTTCTTGCCTTCATTCTTTCTTTGGGAAAAATGGTAGGTGACCTGCCCATGGCTGAAGGGGTGTTGAGACAAGGATCATAGTATACCATCCCTTTAGGACACTGTCAACATATTAAAGTCAGCCACAATAACTTGATGTAATCTAAATGACTTACTGGGCCCAAGTCATTGTGCCTTTAGGCAAAGTATGCCAATAGTGGGTTGTCTGACTCATTCTGAAAAACACTGGAGGCACCATCACTTTCCCAACTTTCTATAGTGTTCATAGTTGCCTGAGCCATCTCCTCCACATCATTCCTGAAGTCAGCTGTGAGGTCCTCCAGCTGTATTCCTTTCAACCAGTACACTGGAGCATTACTTTGCCAATAGCAAATGTGGTGGTTACAATGCCTTTTTGAATGGAGGGTTTAAATAACCTGGTGTTGTGGTGTGGGATCTTGGTTTCTTTACCCAATTGGTGCTTTTCTGCACTCTGAAGCTAAGATGCTGCTTAAGACACTAAGTTGGCATTGGAGATGGTAGTGGACTCAAGCTTAAGAACTGGAATTTTGAGTAACACTAACTTAATATTTGCCCTGGACTGCACCCTTAGATATAGTAACCACAGCCATGAACACCAATAAAGGGGCTATGGAGGTAACAGTATGAGCAAACTTTCAGTTCTGGATGATAGAAAATATACTAGTGGGTGGCCAATGAGAGATGGAAAGGTTGATTATATATCAATGCAGTTGGTGGTGATGTAAAAGTACATATCACCTTACTACTACCATTAGTACATGTCTACAGTATGATTGCAAGAACACAACATATCTCCCAGCATCTTTCTCCCCATCATGCATAGTGCTTCCCTTTGTTCCTCTCAACTCAGGCATCAAGATATGGAAATGTATAAGACACTCCAATTGCAGAGTCAAGATCTCAAGTGATCCTCATTCAAGGCAAAGCTTGCAGATTCTTGAGTCTGGAGACACTGATATCCAGGAAAAGGAAGAAGATAAGGATGATACTAGTAGCAATCATAGTCTATCTGAAGACATACTGTTGTACTCCTTCTCCTAGGAGGCCATATGCCAGTAAATGTTGAGCTCTATCACAAGAACATGTTATGATTGCTCCTCCACCATCTTGCATTTGTTAATATCCTTCATACACAGCAGGCATCAAGATCTATGGTCTTGAGCTCCTCAAGCTGACACATATGCCCCCTTATCTAAAGAAATACCTGGGGAATTAAAGGGACCTGTAACATGTTCTTGGTATGTAGGATGGTGGGTATAACATGGATCAAGGCCATGGTCAACAAGGTAGTCCTACGCACAAGATGTTGTGATAATCCAAAGACCATTGGATCCAAGAAGACACATAAGTGTACTAAATATCTATATAGCATAAAAAAGCTCATCTAGTGAGCTATCACCATCTTGCAAACATGCACACCACTCTGATACAAAATCTGAGAATGCTCAACTTGGTTTTGCGCAGATTTTAATTGATTTGATAAGTACTTACACTACCAGCCCAGCCTCCTAGTATGCTGCTATTGATATATAATACACCATCACATACTATGTACTTTGACAAATCCAGAAATTGTTAGAGTCATCCTAAGACAGACAATTGTCCAAATTGGGAATTCAGTCATGAATGCAAAATCACTCAAGGACAAAGGTAAGAATATTCTCTCATTCTCAAATATCCATCATACATTCAACTACATCTACAAGTATAAAATGGAAAACTACCCCAATGCTAACAGAGGAGCTGATGGGAACTGCAATCATAAGGTAAGTCACATATTGATCATCATCATATCAATTACTCACCATTGATGGAGATCCCCACCCTGCAACATGTTCCAAGGCCTTGAAATGTGTCATTCATATTGACTGGAAGGCATTTGGTGAGAAGTTCATGGATTCACAAACTGTTACTGGTATTTTACAAGAACCTAATATATACTACCTGGGCTGTCATGCAAATGCACATGCACTGTGAGAATCACATTAGCACTGAACTTGTATACCCCTATTTTACTGATCTTCAGTGATCCACTTTCCTGTACTGCCACTCCAAGTCACACATTGGTCATATGTGCAATTGGCCATGTTGAGTATGATTAATCCAAGTTGTACATTGTTAGCATGTGCAATTGTCCATAGTCCATTGTCCTATATTATTCACTCATCATTGTCTGGCCAAGTTGATTGTGATTGATCCAAGTTGTACATACAAACATCCAGTGATCCATGAGGCATCCTAAGTGACCCAAAGTCCACTTCATTGCTTATTCTCATTCACTATATATTTGCCCATGTTCTGAGTAGTTTCTCCAGCAAATTTCCACTTGAAACAATTTCTTGTATGATTTCTCATTAAGTCTTCATTTGACTCTCTTAATGTTTGTTTGCACATTACACACTCCTTCAACTCATCATTTGCTCTCTATCTCTCTCACTTGTTATTCAAGTCATCCCTTTATTGTTCACTTCATTTAACTTTGCTTGGTAGGGTTAACATCGCAAAGGCATGTATATTCCCACAGCACCAACAACTATATCACCCCAACCTACTATTCCTACCATACCTACCACTACTGGTCTGGTCAAATGAGACACACACCATAATGGTGCTTTGGATCATCAGGGAGAGGCATATGTTCAAGTTGGAGATGATGGAATTAAAATACTTGCTGGGACTCAGGGAGGGATATGGTAGGAACTGGGTATGATTTACTCTAGCAACACTAGCTTTTTTGATAAGATCAGGATGAGTGGAGGTGGGTGCCCCATGGGCCTATAATTGTCATAAGATAACACTAGATAAATAAAGAAGGATAGCCCACCTTCTCAGCAAATCTGATATAGTGATCAAAGTGTATTGTTGTGAAAGGCTTATCAGAAGATTCCATGTGGTCCATGTGGTTTGGCATTTCAACCTTGAGATAGTTCTGAAGTGCCTCAAGCCTCTTCTTGATAATATGATTCTGTGGAATTAACAAGCCCAGGAACTTTTTGTTTTTGTCAATGAACTTTATGTCTTGACTTTTGTAAGGTCAGTGAGCAAATATATGAGAATAGAGACATACTATGGCTTACCCTTCAAAAGATTCATGAGCAAGATATATATATTTCATGTCCCTAAAGAAAAGAATAATATCACTCACCTGCACATGCAATGAAAGCCAAGTGACTTCCATATTAGGAAACTCAGCTACAGTGCCTGCACTTACACCTGCTTCCTTATGTAGACATGCATATGGGATGTCTTTGCCTTTGATTCTGTGCAAATGTTAACAATCAAACAAGCAAAGTAAAAAGAGCTTACTTTGCAAGATGAAAGGATAGTTTGACATAGTCCACCATAGACATGAATGAAACATAATGGCTAAAATCCTCATTAGACCTGCACTTCTGAATTAGAGTGTGCAGGCCAAGGTCCCCACTATTGGCTGAAACAAAGGTAGCAGGGGCTTGAATCCTCTCCAGAAGATTTAGAATACTTCTGATATGTCCTGAGGAGGAAATATTTGCCAGCTCTGTAATCTTGGTTAAAATGTCAGACTCTAAGGTGGGTGGGTGGCAAGAAGTCCACTGGACCACACCAGCAGGATTTCTGGCTGCCACTGCTTCCTTCTCTGCCAAGTAATGCTCTACTGCTGCCCCAGGCAGTCTTTTTTTTAGAAGGTCCTTCAAAGTAATCAAGCTTCTCTCCATTTTGGCAACAGATCTTATGCTTAGAACCAGCATGCTTGAAATGTAGCACTAGAGAAGGTTCAAAATCTAAAGACAGAATCCATGAGTTCTGTGTGAATGATTAGTTCTAAATAATAGCTCACCTGCAGGTTGAGGACATTTCTTAGCCCTCCCTGTCCTTATGTTTATCAGTTCATTCTCAATAAAAAAACATAGGATGAACCAGAGTCATAGACATAGTTATCCACCCTGGCCATATAGTCATAGCACAACTCATGGTGCTCTCCACTGGACACTAGATTGGCTCTATGTTCTGTATGGATACAGCAGGACATCCCCAGAATCAGCCTCCAGAATTTGATGTTTGGGATCAAGGCAGCACATACCACCACTTGAGTGTCCCCATTTTACAGAACTGGATTTAACACAATATAGCACTATTTTACCATTGTGCTCCCCTAGTGCTGCTATTATTACATGGATCTACCCATATGCACCTTCAGAGACCATTCTTTATTCAGAGACTTAGTCTCACTATGCAGATTCAGGTGGCCACAGAAGCTGTGACATGATGTATGTTTTCTGCTATTGGTATTATTTAAACCCCCATTTAATTAACCATTCTGTTTAGAGTACATCTTAGACCAGCTTTCAGATCCAGAAAGATCATCTGTGGGGCTGAATAGTAGAATAGTATGTATTTGAAGAGAATAAGCAAACTTAGAGAATTCATGCACTTCTGAGTTTTAATGAATTGATATGCCCTAAAACATAATTGTTAGTACTGAAATATAATTTAATTGTAGTAAGATGTACCTTCAATGACACTCAAGCAGCTTGGGAGCATAATGCCTAAGTAGGGCATTGATCTTGGGTGCAATGTGGTGTTTCACAGCAAATAAAAGATTGCTCATTGCTCTCAATTCTGTAGTGTCTTGCTTGCATGTTTCATGGGTGACTACAGCATATAGCTATTGAACCTGCCATATCCCAAAATGATAGACAGGCATATAAGAGGGATTGGATTCACCAAGACAGATATAGTGACAAACATTCAGAGAGGGATGATGGAGAGTGTTCCATGATTTGCTTTAGAAGCATTGTTTGAAGAAACCATCCAGAAGAATAGTTTTAAATCCGGCAATCAGATTGCTTGCTCTTGTAAAGTTGTGTCCTGTTCATTGATATCATGAGTACAACATTGTCCTTGGTGATATCTCCATGAAGGATAGCATGCATATAGTCAGTGCCCATGACAAAGTCATTAATCTTATTGAAGACACCTCCATTGATACACAGCTTGTTCATCAAGTGCTCCATCTTGTTGGGAAGATAAGACATCTTCTGGGCATGTTCTTGGTCGTGCCAAAGCACCTGAAGCTGTGTGTTAAGGGGGATAGTGATGAATTTCTAGCAAGCTACACAGGTGAGGATGGTACAGATCTTCTTGTGAATGCAAGTGCTTGACATCTATAGGATTCATGTCTGGCTGAGACTGTCCAGACACCATCTAGCTATAGTACACTGCTGCCTTCTGCCTCACTATCTAGTGGTGCACTAGTGCTACTCTCTGTCTGACTGGGCTCTCTGCACGCCCGCTTCTATCATCCTGTGCAATTGTGTTCTGACTCACCAGTGCCCACAATAGCAAAAAACAGAAGTGAAATGAAGACAACACTGGATAGCATGCAAGTGATGCATGAAGTATGATATTTTGGAGTAGAATGAGGATTACAGTATGAGTAGGTTATAGGTGATGAGCAGCAGGCATAAATGTGTGTTGATGGCTTTAGAGTTCCAGCACTGAAATTATTACTGTAAATAGCATGCCTATAAATGAGATTAGCAAAAGTTCACAAGATAACCAAAGCAGTGTGATGTACTCTATTATGGTGTCATACAAGAACTTGTAGTTCCTAAGATTACCTTTCAAGTGACAGATACCGAGGCATGTGTCTTCAGATGATCTACGCTTGTCAGTTCAATCCAGAAGTGCACTTCATCCTATGCACCCTGGATGGTATCACTATGTACTTGCAATCCTATGATAGAGTCACCAAACTGACAGCAGCTTTGGTCACCTCAAACTATCCAGTACCATGCATATGAAGCATACCGATCTCTGCTTAGGATCATCTAATGAAACATGGTCAGCTCCAATGCATCAGTTCAGCCACCTCGTTCAGCAGTACTAGTGGATGACAAGTGAGAACTGCACTCAACCACAGTAGTCGTCTTGAGAATCCTCCAGAGTTTTGTTTGGCATTTCACCAGAAGTCAAACTGGCTGCAATGTAGATATTGTTGAAAGTTATGAGAATGGATAAAGACAGGGTTGACATTTGAAAGAAACACCTTTTCCTCCACTGCATGTCAGCTAATACATACATCTAAAGTAAACTCCTACCCTTCAACCATGGGGGAAGGCCATGGGAAGCACAGGACAATGAGTACATATGTGTGCCTGCCAGATGCAGCTACACAGTAGTTGAAGGGTGAAAGTGTTGATCAACTGGGAAAAGCCCTTGGTGAATTAGTAAAGAAGCATTGGATGTGTATGAGGTGCCAGCCCTTTCAGCTGCTGCAACTGTCACAAACCCAAGCTCAGCAGTCTGGAATATGCTGGCTTGGTTGAACCAGATGCACAACCCTCTCCCATCTCCACTGTCTAGAGGGGTAGTGCACATAAATTCCAAATCTTTATTTTTTAGCCAGTTAGCTACTTGAAGAGAGCAAGAGCAATGGAAGGAGGTCAGAGCTTACTGCACATGTCCACATTAAAGTGCAAAAAAAGAGAGGAGGGATAAAAGCCAAAGACGCCCGGGGGCATCTCAATCACCAGCCCTGCTTCCCAGATCACAAGCCATGACCACTCTTTACTATTAAATTGACCTAGAATTGATTCAGATGAGGGAAGGACTTGCACTGGATAGGTATTGACAGACTATATATGAATATAACACAAACTTTGATTCCTATGTTCTTGAAATCCACATGCAGGCTGCAGTGAACACACAATACCCCGGCTATGGCAGAATTCAGGCAAAGTTTGAAAAAATGTTCATATAGAGGCTGGATTCCTAGAGCATCTGCACAAGCACTGTGCCTTGTGGCTAGAAGGGGGAATTCTTCCTGAAAGATGTCATTCATGAGCCCACTAGGGGGGGAGGGGCAAGGGTTAAGGGATGGCCTTGCAATGGTAAAGAAGTTTCAATATACTTTATGTGAGAGGCAGCATCCCCAGAGTGCCATAGTTGATCAATGGCTTTGCGATTTGACACATGCCAAGCACTGAGTGAAGGCTTCTGGAACATCCATGGGTAACAAGTTGTAGGGCATCAAGAGTTGTGGTCATGGCTGCGTATTATGCCCCTTGGCTGGCCCATTTAAGACAGAGTTTGATTACTGTAGTATGTGAAGGCTTCTGGAACATCCATGGGTAACAAGCTGCAGGGCATCAAGAAAGTGACTCCCATAGATTTAGAGTTGCGTTCATGGCTGCAGATTAAAAACTAATGTGGTCCCCTAGTGTTCTGCTGCATCTTGGCAACCTTAAACCCCGTCTTACTTTCTTCAACAGCACGCATAAAGATCGCCACCTCCTCTTGAAAGCACAGAAGGAGCTCATGCATGCACGCCCCCACAAAGGTTTATACTAGTCATAGTTGCCCCTGGGAATCCCTGATGCACATTTTGAGGCTACAGCAAGCAATCAGGGAGCTGCACAACTCAAAGTTCAAGACACTTATTTCTGATATGGAACTCTGTCAAATTTGATTAAGTGGAACAAGATCCCATAGCTATACCACTCCTCTCTGAGCGCCCTCCCTGCCTGAGTGGAGCTATAGTTTGTGCCTTGCCAGCCAGTTGTGGACACATGAAAGGTAAGTGCATCAAACATTGTGTTGCACTTGAGTTCCTCCACCTTTCTATCAGGGTTAAGCTTGTGCAGTCTATGGCGCCTTGCATCCCTCTTCACCTTTGCTGGTGCCTTTCGACAAGCAGTGGGGGTAGGTAGGGCTGGAGCAGGCATTGCACAAGGCGTGTGTTGCTCCATGCAAGGGGGAAGCTCCACATGCTGTGCAGCACAATGTGTGGCAGGAGTGCTTAAAAACGAGGGAATGCATGTGACAATGGGGTAGTGCTGGGGGCCTGGGGGGACGTGGGTGTGAGCTGGAGGGGCCCATGTGCTGAGTGGAGTTGAGGTCGTGGCTGACCCTCTGCTTCTTGCAAGGGGTGCAATCATAGAGCTGGCAGTTTGTGAAGTCTTGTTTCTGCTGCCTGTGAAGGGCATTCAGCAATGGTGAAAGGACAACTACAGCAAACAACTCACTCAATCTTAATATAACCCAGGGTAGGAGAAGGCCATGCCTCAGTTGGTGTGGAGCTGCTGCAGTGCTCAAGAAGCTTCTCCACATCCGGATCATGATTGCACTCCTCCCTCCAAGGAGACTGGTGCCATGCCAGAATCATGTCCTCAAGGGTTAAGCCTCTTATGCAAAGGTTATTGGCTCTGAAGCTGGAGACGTGGGAGGGGGGAAAGCTGACAGAGGGCTAAGATCAGTGTATGCAGACAAGCCTCACAAAATGTACCACTTAGCAAGTATCATCAATATGGCAAGCACTGTCGACCAAACAATGAGTAAGCCACACAGTTTATGCTTTCCAGAAGAACCAAAGCACCCTCACCGGTGTTGTCCAACAAGCAGTGATGTGTCAGAGCATCTGTAGCTAGGCCACTATGTCAACAAAGAAGCAGGGCGCACACCCTCTGCATGCTAATGGCATGTGTGTGGAGGAAGGTGTAGTGAGGCCATGCTCACTCAACCTGGGGCAGGGATGGGCCATACCAAGCATTATGGGTGTGGGAGTTGGACCATGCAGGGGACAGCTGAAACAAAAAAGGGAACAATGCTCACTGTCAGAAAGCGCATTGTGTGCATGCATTTTGTAGCTTACAGCTGAGTGAGAACACACAGAGTGCAGGTTGATAGAGGTCAATAATTGAAGTTGGTACAATGTATACAAATCAAACAGTGTACATCAATAAGTACAAACAGTTGCAAACATCAAGTAACAAGGCATGCAATGCAGCTCAATTCACCACTAAAACATAAAGCTTCAAAGCTTAAACTACAGCATCAACAATGCTCCTGGACCACACTAATCCTATGTGACATCAATATGTCACCTGTCCTCTGCATCATCACTGGGGGAATTCTTGTCTATGACCTCATCTGTGGAATCCTCCTCCTTGTCATCATCAGTGAACTCCTCCTCTAATGAGTCGTTACTGGAATCATTGCGGATCCAAATCCTTTCTGGTGATCTATCCAAGCTCCTGAACAGCAAAGACTAGATGAGCTCATGGTCTACATCATGTTGATGTACCCGAGGAAGAGTCATCAAATCCCTGAATCAATTTTCAAATGTGCTGTTTGAGAAGCATCGGTGCTTTCCTGTGGGATGTTTCAACTGATAACACTATTTCAGAGTCACCTAGACGTACTTACTGTGGTTAGGGCCAGGAATGTTTGTCCTTTCGTCAGCGAGTTCCCAAAGTAATATGGAGCCTTGCCTGAAATGATCCCATGCAAACACCTTTGATGGTCTGATGATGATGCAAAGATCTAAGATTCCATAGTATTCCAGGCTCCGTGCACATGAGCGGTGACCCCTTGCATGGAAAACAAGCACTTTCAGCATTGCAAGTTGGAGAAGATGATTGACCAGCCTGGGGAGGTGCAGATGTCAGTCAGACAAGTCAGTCCACAGTGCCAGGTGGGTCAACTGGTGGAAGGTGCCCATGTCAAGATGACAATGCAGTCCTTCATTCTCGATCTCAAGATACGTCAGTTTAGTGAATGTGTTCACCATCACCATGGAAGGCCTAGTGAGTGATGATCCGATGATCAAAGAAAGTGCTGTGAGTGGGAGGGTATCCAGGATGTGGTTCATAGATGTTAGATCAGGAAGGATGCTGTCAGAGTTATGTGATACTATGTAAAGATTTGTGATGTCTTTGCAAAGCGATAGGACATTGATTATGGTGTTGTACTTGATACCTTTGCCCATAAACATGGCTGTGGTTGGTGGGAGAGTCTCGATGTGCGCCTGCCGAAGGTGATAGCATTTCACAAATGTAGATGCATAGTTTTCATCTAGCAAGACGACCTTAGTATACAGTAATCATTTCAATCTGTAGGTAGATGATAAGTAAAGATAGAACTGATTTAATGCTGGGGTTAAACACTCATAGGGTGTAGGTGCATCTAGAAAGCCAAATCCAGGATGCTGCATCCTTTCTTCTATGAGTGGCAAGAGTTAAAACTTTTATGACAATCTCAAGGGGGATATGGACAGTCATTGTAGACAGCATATCAGATGATTTTTGTTCAATCAGCTGATTGTTGATTTTCATTGACAAACAATGACCAACAAATGATCCATGAGGATGCAATGTGTCATAGTGAACTGCATTGTGGTGCATGCACGTTGAAACTAATGTCATATCGAGCGACTACAACATAAATGATGGACTTCACCACTTGCATATATTATTGGAGCCATTCCAAACCAAGAGTCTCATGCTAGCTATTTTTGTAAGTGGTTAACCTTACTTGTGGGCAGCACTAATGTCATGGTGAGACCTTGGAATTGCTGTGCGCGCAGACTTACTTGTACCCAGCTGCACATGGTGATCATAGTCTTTTTTGATAGGTTATCATGATGGAATCATTCACTGTACATGTATCTATTATGCGTGTTTGCTCAGACTGTGCAATGCTGCACATAGCTGGAAGAAATCTGCACAATTGTCAGGATTAAGTAATATTTTTGCCTTCTTGTTCGTCTGTAGCATCTGTGGCAGGCTCAGTTAGCAGTGCGGATGTAAGATTGACTAGTGGTGGTGGCAGTACCTGTCGCTCAGGCAGATCTTCAACTGTATGTGAAGTTGCCTTGCACTGTGTGATGTCTAAATATCATTCTGAGCAGGTTGATGAAAATGAATAACAGCTAAGGTGTTTTTGCCAAATGGTCTGTCCCATCCTGGACTGGAGGTGGCAATGAATCAAATATCTGCATACATCTACAGAGATATTGGTGCATTGTGATGTCAACATACTGGTGTCATATGACACACAGATGGATTCAGTGACTAGTAAGTCACCTATAAATGACACATCAAGGGAGAAAGACAATATATCTGCAGTGCAAAGTAAATCAGGCAACTACTTCAAATCCCTATTTCTACACATTGAATACATTAGGCAAGCTTGGTCTCAATGTCTCTCATTGTTCCCGGAGAACAAAACAATGCTGAGAACAGCCTTCATCAGAACATCATCGGACAGCATGTTCACAAATGATATTGAGGTGGACTTAATATTATCGAGTACAGAAACATTGAACAAAATCAAAGCCTTACATCTGACAGTGGTCTTTTTGCAATTTCGTTAAGAGGACCTACATGCCTTGAGCTCAAGTTATAAATCTGAGTTGATGGGAAGACACAAAGGAATGGAAGGAAATGGGTCTACCTCAAGGAGCAAGGATATGATAGCAACAAGGCAAGTAAGACACAGCAAGTATTATAGATAACTGCTGTGTGGCTCCCATAGGCAGTGAGCACGTGAAAGCAAAGAGGCGATGAAATACAGCAAGCACCAGAGTGATCCACTCTGTTGCTCCCATGGGGAGTGAGGACGTGAGAGTAAAGAGGTGAATGAGCTACAGCAAGCACTATAGCAACCTGCTATGTTACTCCCATGGGGAGCGAGGATGCAAGAGCAAAGAGGCAAATGAGATACAGCAAGCATCAGAGTGATCCACTCTGTTTCTCCCATGGGGAGCAAGGATGTGAGAGTAAAGAGGTGAATGAGCCACAGCAAGTGCTACAGCAAACTGCTATGTTACTCCCATGGGGAGTGAGGACGCGAGACCAAAGAGACGAATGAGACAGAGCAAGCATCAGAGCAATCTGCTCTGTTGCTCCCATGGGGAGCGAGGACGCGAGACCAAAGAGACGAATGAGACAGAGAAAGCATCACAAGGATGATCACTGAGATTTCCTGATGTTAAAAAATATCCAGTATCATCCTTCATTGATCATCCTATCATTAGGATATTACCAGATGAGGGATTAACAAACATACTGTATACTGTTCATTTATGACTTCATCAGGATGTGGTACACTTACATCCTCCCACCCCATATCCATAGGCATGCTTAAGGTAACTGACACCCAATCACTTGAGTCATCCACATCTTGATCATCTTGACTGTGAATATCTTTCTGTACTCCACAGTCCAACATTGCATGGATGTGAGGTGAGGAGGAATATTCCATAATAGACTCACATTGGACACCAATGGTGGCCACCACCATACAAGACTCGCATTGAATGCCTACAGTGGAACCCACCATACTAGACTCGCATTGGATGCCTACGGCATGCCACAGATGGGGAGTAATGTCTTGTAGTGCCCCAGCATCAGTGATATATTCCTCATCATATTGAACCACAAAGTCTCTGCCCTTCTGGGATATATAGAGGGCTTTACCAGCAGTAGTGAAGAATCGTGCCATGGCGCCACAGTCCACCAATAATTCCTGGCATCTGTTCATCATCTCTGCCATCCCAAATAGCTCCAAAAACTTATCAGTACTTCGTGCCGTTACAAGTAATCCATTAGCTATGAAGTCCTCCAGTGGCTTGTTATCATCAAGCCCTTAGATTTCTCAAAATTGCATTGTGACATGACTGGATAGCCAGCGTCCAAAGCCACCAACGATTATTTCCCATGCATTTTTCCCAAGAGTACTGAGCGAAATCATGCAACAATTGATATTGAATGGAAGTGGGAACTTTGGAAATGGATCTGACTGCTAGTAGTTGAAGATCATATTCACATGGTGTGTTGTAGGAGATACGCACCACATCCATGTTATTAGATACCAATGTCATCTGAGTGGGTGAATGGGCTGAATCAGGAGCATCAACTGCTGCCATAGTACTGATCTGGTCTTTGGGTGCTTTGATGCAGCCATCAACTGCATTGAATAGGAACTCAATATCTTCTCCTTGTCCACATCCCTGTAATGCTCCACAGAAATCGTGTTCCCTGCATTTTTTCTTGTGATAGGCATTCCAATCAACTGTATAGCATGCTCAGGGCCACAACAAATCAGAAAATGATAAATAATGCACAGAATACCAGTATGTCTGGACAATTCCTGTTCTTTGAGAACTTTATCTCAATGGTCCATCAATTATACAGTGTCCTCAGTGGTATCTGAGGTTGTGCAAGATCTCCTTCATTGAATGGTAAGATGGTCGCATGATCTACCAAGCATTCACAAATGTCAATGCAATGACTTGATAATCCAGATATCACTATGAACATACCCTCCACGCAGGACATGTCGATCACAGAAATATGATCACTGAGAACGAGCTCATATTCACCAATGCAACTCACAAGACTAATGAAAGCATTTGTCAGAGTTATGTTGGTGAATGTGCATGTACACACATACTCAACACCCTCATCTTCCAGGTCCACCTTCCTATAATACCATTGTATTTCAAGCCATACATCCTATCATAGAGTATTTGAATCGATAAGGTACACTGGAATTGCAAATGTACTTGCCTGAACTTGACAACAAGTCTTCAGGTAAATCTTGAACACCTTACCATACCAATATGACATAACTGGAAGACTCCCATCTTGCATTGGAACAGCCAGTTCATCTGATAGAAATATTGCAACACCGCAGGAATTATATCAGGATCACACCAACAACGCACAGACAAATAATTCATACTCTTCGCCTACATGGATTACCATCCGGCTATCATTCATATCATCAGAGTTTTCATGGGAATCATAGACCCCTGTGAAGAAGACACAGGTTTAAATTAGAAATCAAACTAGTAGGCACCCAACTGAACATACATTCCAATGAGGTGCATTTCCTCAATTTGTGAAGCTTAGGGTGATTATGGTGCATGAGGGTCAACTTCCTCCTTCCCTCTGTGCAAGATGAACAGCTGGTGATTGATGGTCTGCAGGACATAATGATGATAGTGGAACTGCAAATACTACCAAGAACGTCAAGAATTCAAAATAGGTACCATATAGCTGTTACGTATGCCATAAAATTGTGTGTATTGGACAAATGCATCAAGTAAAATGCATTACAAGGTACAAGTGTTGTCCTTATGGCATGCCAAGAAGTGTTACATCATATGATGGATTAGATCCGACCACAGTGAATTAAATGCAGAACAGGGTCAGTAAATAAATGGGGTTTGTGTATGGTGGAAGTGACCACTCATGAAATGTGCATTTTCCATTCTATTGAACTGAAACCTTAAGATACTGGAGCAATTCAGAGGCGATTGCACAACGGAGTCAGTAAATAAATGGGGATTGTGTATGGTGGAAGTGAACACTTATGAAATGTGCATTTTCCATTCTATCAAACTGAAACTTTAACATACCAGAGCAATTCAGAGGTGATTGCAGGACAGGGTCAGTAAATAAATGGAGATTGTGTATGATGGAAGTGACCACCCATGCATTCCATGCATTCCATGCATAGTTTGAAATGTGCATTTTATATTCTATTAAACCAAAACCTTAAGATACAGGAGAAATTCAGAGGCAATTGTAGGACAGGGTCAGTAAATAAATGGGGATTTTTCATAGAGAAAGTGACCATAAGGCATTTTGTCAACTCAATATTGTATGTACTTGTAGTACATGAACATTCTAGGTTAAATATAATCAGGATGCTTTCAGGGTGTGATCTGTTACTCACACAACAGCATATGGTGTCTGATGGACGAAGAGGATTCTGTCAATATTCTGCAGCAAATACTCAAATTGAGGATCCTGGATTGGAACCCACAGGGTTCAAGGATCTCAGGGACTAATGTTCAGACAGCTGAGAGGAGTGCATCTGAGGACAGATTGAATCCTGATGACAATATTGGAGTACTATCTGCAGGCATGGAAAAATGCAATATCTTGGACCAAGAGGATGTCAAGGTCAAAGAAAACACGCCAAAGCGAGGGAGGCCAAGAAAGCAAGTTGTGTAACGTCTTGAGTCTATGAACTTAACTCATATTTACATGTTAAGTTGAGACTCTGGTCAAGGTGGCAAGCTGGCTACCATACTTCCGACTGATAGATCAGCTCAGAATATCCAGAATACCAATGCACAACACATACATGCTACACTTAGCCCTGTCCCTGAGCATTTCTCACCCAATGATGTGGTTCATCATGGCCAGACATATCATCACCTCACAAGCACAATATACGATAAGGACCAGCGAAGGAAGGAGGCTGAGGATGAAGAGTTGGATACAACTGATATCCTGCAGCAGATCATGACATCTGGCATCCTGGATTGGAACCCACAGGGGTTATTGGCTGCAACACATATAGGAGATGATAGCTTGAATAGTAATGAAGATACGAGGGCACAGTCAATGGAAAGAGATGTGAGGAGCATAACTGAACATAAGGATCACTCAAAGACATAGAAACCATGCTGTCCACATGTGAACAACCAGCCAGAAAACCAACCACACATCGTGAGCTCCTATACTTGACCTCTACCCAGATCTACATGATCATGTGCATAGGACAAAAACACAGGACAATGGCGTCCACGGATAGGATATCATCACCCAAGGAGCTGGGAAATCATAATTCCAGACCCATCATCCGTGCTACGAGCAATCCAGTGCAGGAACACCAGCCTGAAAATGCGGTCCACTATGACGGTGATCTATGCATGGAGGAGGGCGAAGCCAGCAAAACTCCATCTACTAATAGGCGACATAGGGGACGTCCAAAAAAGCGCGCTGTGTATGCAAGAGTTACTGGTCAGTGATGTTGGAAATCTTCATTAAAGCTAAATGTGAATCACATCGAATACACAGCATCCAAACGATCCAAACATCATGTAGTTCATCAACCACATTTGAGTACTATTCCATTGGACGACTGGGACGATGAATACATGCCAGAACCAGCACACCGTAAGTATCTTACATCATTTGACTGCTGCGAACATGTATTAATATCTTTCATAAGCGATCGAAGAGCTCTACGCCCAGAAGAATACCAGATGATGAGTACAGGCCATCTCCTCCACCGCAGGTTACTGTATGGTCGCTTTCACCTTGATGTCTCACCACCTACGATACCTGAACTGACAGGCTGAGGAAATTGCTTGTGAGTTCATAATTATTTATACATAGGATGAAACACTAATTGTATTCTGCCCAATCATAGCTCGTGCAATGGCCCAACCAGGTGTTTCGGACATCTGTTTTAGACACCTGGGCAGACCCTCCAGTTGAATGAGTGGCTTGAAGCAACAGTAGGCAGACTTTTATTTGTCCCATGTGTGGTACGAGCTGCTGGGCAGATCACGCATGAGGTACGTGAACATGCACACAACAATGGTGAATGAGATGGAGGATGAAGAAGAAGTCAAGCTCTTCCGGAGGAACTATATCATCCCTCATGATGGAATATGTCCTGTTGTCCCTGTTGGATTTGTAGTCCATTGCACATCAATCATTTCTTTGCAGTCATTTTTGACTATCAGCAACACAAAGCCTATGTCCTGGGTCATCATATTTCCAATGATGCAATGCATGTTGATGGAGTGGATCCAGACGACTGGAATGAGTGGAGAGGACTGGAATATTGGAAGCAAATTGGTGCCCTTCATGGCTGGAGCATAGGGGATATCACTGGTGTATCTGTGATATCAGTGGATTGGAAGCAAAATGGAGTGGACTGTGGTCCAATTGCTTGCTCCGTACTTGAGCAATGTCTTAACTCTGGATTAGACAAGCATGGCGACATTGCAGCATTTCAAGTTCAGTGTGGCCACAGACTGCGCATTCACATGTTACATATCATTGCTGGGCATATCAAGCTCTGCTGTAGCAACTATTCGATGCTCCTCGACATTGTGCAAGACAAATGGCAAGAGGGCGAGCTACCAGACGAGGGTGTCATCAATGCGATTCACAATGGGCGGCACCAGGCTGAATGTCTCAAACTCCTACAGAAATTGACTGTTGTGAGTGCCACCTGCTCAACATGTCAACGTCCCATACTGCATCAGGGTGGTGAACACCCCTCACACCATAGGACAGAATGAGGATGGAACTCCAGTAGGATCTGGATGGTTTGGAAGCTCAATGGAGTGATGATGAGGATGCCCTTGGAATGGACCTACCTGCAGATAGAAAGGCTGAAGCTTGCAAAGCTTTTTAAAGCAAACAAGCTACTTACTTGGATATCGAAATCGCAATTCTATAGTCCCTCGTGCCATTGGCACGCACATTCAACTCCAGCCGGACATGCCACCTGATGTCTAGGATACCACTGACTCACAATGCTCTGTTTCTGCTTCAGCATCTCAGTAGGCGAGTAAAACACTAGGCATCTTGGAAGCAACAAACAATTTCCACGTCCCACTGCCCCAGTCCCCCTGGCTGCATATGCAAGTTGGAGATGGCTTCAGGATGACCACATGTTCGACAGTTATGAAGGTGGACCAACGATCGAAATGTTAATGACTCCCAGGGAATCCAATCCAGCGATGACATTACAGGCCTGGAGGAATCCAGATCTCGACTGCTTGGGTGGACTGGGTGGACCATGGCTACCTGCATTACCCCTAGCTCATTCCACATGTTCTATCAATGTGACCCAATAGCCACCATGGATCATATCATGCCCATTGGCACACCCGACTCCTATGATCCTTCAAATCAGGTTCCAGATCGTGTTACAGGTGCATACAGCCTGGACCGGCTAGGGTCAGAGGATGGAGAACACCACACACAGGTCACAGATGTGGAAATACTGTCTGCTGCTGAACTCATCGATTCTGCCCAATATGATCCCCCACTGCATGATGACTGCAGGTTCGGACACAATTCCTTTGTGCGTGGTCGCACCAGTGATCATTATGGTGATGGCCCAGCTTTATATCTTGATCTCGAGCGAGATGCTGTTGCATTTCCGGAAGATGAGATAGAGATTTCAGTGGACATAGACAGCATAATCTGGACCACGAAGCTCTTCCGATGCAAGGGATCCATGGGTATCTATATCACTCCACCATTTCAGACGAAAGGAGGAGGCACGATACAAGGCCAGAGGTAGAGATGGATGCAAAGGTGGATGGGACCTCCAAAGACTATACCCCTGTCAGATGATGACTTTATGGAAGTTCAGAAATGCATGCAAGCTCACATATGTGATGGATTTTAGAAGGAAAAGGAATCAAGCTACTCACAAAGGATGGTCAGAGAGGGCGCTTCTCAGGACTGGAAGAGGCACTGCATCGAAATATGTCTGACCTTGACTGGCCATATATGATGAACCGGAGGCATGGTGAACTGCTGGTGGACATTGGAATCTCATTTACACCTCACTCTCCAGATGTTCCAGTCATAGGAGTGTGGAGACTAGACACATTAGAAGCATCATTTGGAGCAGGAGGCTACAAGAGAGGTGAGATGCATCATCACAATACACTTTCTAGATATGGAGCACTGCAGGCCAAGATGCAGCAGGAGAGATCCCAGCAGACCCATATTGCATTCAGGAGCACCTACAACCTCTACTATGAGTCAATCCAGACAAACAGTAACCAAGCAATTTTCGCTTCTGACAGTGACACATACATACAAGCTTACCCCATCATACATGGCTGAATGCTTCAACATCACAAAGGTGGTTGATAGTTTTTTTTTTAATTCCAATTACTGTCCTATTGAGAGTCATACTCTATGGAGGACAATACTATCTAGTCTAGGGGACCCTGTCATATACCTGATCTGACTGCTCCGATATCAATATCTGCTCTGCCTGATTGTGCATCACCCCCACTTTCCGACCACCTCTGCTCCATCTGTCCTTCGCTCTGTCCAATCACTGTCCACATCCACTCCTATGCTTCTGCTCGACCACCCAACCGGTCACCTTCTATAACGTCTCCATTCAACTGGAACCTCTTTCCCCTTCAGTACATAGACCCTTACTTCTGGATCACCGGTAATTCCTCTTACCGCTTGATCACTGATCCGACGCATATATATTGATATCCGCTCTGACTTATGTCTTCACCTATGTAAGCACTTACAAACTATATTCTTGGTACATAGCTTTACAACATAAGTCTCCTAATCACTGCCTCATACTTAGAAGTATATAACATATCCTGTACTTAGATATTTTCCTCAGTCTTAATATTACTTGTTTTCTTGCAGTTTCTACTTGTAAGAATTCTCAGTAGGACCTTGTCTCCTCTGGACACAAGTTTCATCTTGTTGTCACCTCCAACCTTCCGCTCCGACTTAGAGCCGCACTCTACATCTTCCCCCTTACTTCTCCACCTCTATCAATAATCCTCCCTTGCTCCTATCCACCTTCCACACTATCCTCCACCTTCTCCGCTCCACTCCTAGTCGGCCCACCGCTGGTAGCATTTACTTCCCGACCCTCAAAGCAGACCAAAGCGGTCCACTCGTCCTACCATCGGACAATGTCGGACCTGCTCCAAATTTGGGGCCACTATATCCCATACCTCCGGATCCAGAATTCCGGATTCTCCCCTATGAAAGTCCAGTTCTCTGTCCTGTTGTCCACCCGGCACTCCACTTTCATCTCCGGACTCACACCTATCTCCTTTTAGAATACTACTCTCTGGTTACCGGTTGTACACCTTTCCGCTTTGCTTACTGATCCATCTGTTTGCACTTCATCTCTGACTACACTGCTTTGATTCGTTATGCACTTACTAATAGACTTTCCACATGCTTCATACATAGCTTCTACTTTGCTGACTGATTTACTTACATGATACCTACAGTATATAAACCCCTGTAATACTTCAGAACTCCTTAGTTCGAATATCATCTTAGTTCTGCTCATTCCTGCTTCTCCAGACTTGAGTCTCATCTCTTGTCTACCTCTGAGTCTTAGGGTTAAACCTTAGGACTAAATCTCCGGCTCTACCTTAGGGTAGTCTATAATCTATTTTGCTTCTACTCTGGACTTGTCCATAGTAGCCTTACTCTGTTCTCTCATAGTCTTCCGGAGTTCCACCAAACTCCCCCGACATCTGACCTCCGGACTTCTCCAGACTTCCATTGGACTTCCCCTCTGCCCCTCGGAAATTAAGGGCACGTACTCGGGTAAGGGGCACAGCACACAAGCTGAAGCCGAAGCCCTTTGAGTAGTCTTTCCCTTGAGCACGACCTTAACACCAGCGTTCACCAATGATCTTGTGTTGTGCCTCCTGGAGTGCTGAAATGCCCAACGGCAGGGAACAATGACGTAGATAGCATGGGAGGTGATTGTTGGGAGAGTTGTTCTGGTGTCCCTCTGCCACCAATTTTGCGTGCTTGTCTACTTCCTTATTGCCATGTACCCCAGCATGTCCTGGAACCCAGCATATTGTCACCTTGAAGTAGTCATATTCTCTTGTGATTCTTCTCATCAATGTGGTTGATGGTTGTAAGGAGAAAACATATGGTGTCAGGGATGAGTATAGGGTCAGTGGACATGCAGCCAGAATAATATTGGATAATATAGAAGACAAGGTCAGTCATTCACACTGCATGTCTCATTGGCATACGAGCTGAATGTCTCTGGTGATAATTTGCATGTAGGCTAGAGAATATCTGAAGTCAGATCCAATTCTGTGGATCCCATCCAAGATATGATTTGAGCTTATCAGGTGACAGGTGTGAGAGATTCAGAGGACCCAAATATCCATTGTCAAAAAGAATCCTCCAAATCTCGGTATTCTTACTGGCTTGCTAAACCACATGCTTCATTCAACAACATCAACCCCTATCATCTATGGCTTTCACGTCCATGAATATCTCACCCTCCTTGAATATAGAAATGTCCTCGAGACAGCAGGGATGTTTTTCTTACAGGAATTTGATCTGGACAGTGACACCTGCCTAGTGCAGCAAATCGACAACATGAATGTGCTGGCCCTCATGGGCATGAATGCAAAAGCTAAAAGGGATAGAGCAGTAGGAAGGATGGATGCTTGGTGAACTCCTGAGTTAGAGCTGGAGGACTATCCCCTTGGTCGGACACCATCATGGACTCGACTCAAGGCAGCCATTGCAAACTCACCTGCGATAATCATGAGACCATGTCCATGGTTGTCCAGGTTATCCAATACTCAACTATCTGTTGGACATTTGATTGTCATGTTCATTAGGCACACATGGCTTATGCTGACACCTGAAGTCTTTAAAGGCATCAGACCTCACCCAAACTCACTTCAGGAGGCAATGAAGTGCTGGACGATAACTAGCATCAATGATACCCTCGCTGCAGTCTCTTTCAAAGCATGCAATGCTGGGCTGCATAACAGCACAGGTGTAACTCCCAATTGCATGGGTCCAAGGTCAAAAACATTTGTGGACAGGTGCTCACTATTCTTTCCTGACCATGATGCCTCCCATAAAAACAACGCTCAGTGGTCTACACTATGGGAGGGAGAAGGATATATTGCAGAGTTTCACCGGATGATGGAAACAATGGAAGAGGATCAGCAGGAGTTGCTCAAGCAAGGGTTATGTGAAGTATTTTCTGACCTGCACAGGCTTCCTGCAAGCGGTAGAAAAGTGTGGATACAAAAGCATGATATCATATCCCATACCTCTGGATCCAGAATTCTGAATCTCCCCTATGAAAGTCCGGTTCCCCATCCTGTTGTCCACCCAGCACTCCACCTTCATCTCCATACTCACAATTATCTCCTTTTAGAATACTGCTCTCCAGCTACCGGTTATGGCTTTCCGCTTTGCTTACTGATCCGTCTGTTTGTACTTCATTTCTGACTTCACTGCTTTGATCTATTATACACTTACTAAGAGACTTTCCACATGCTTCGGGCATAGCTTTTACTTTGCTGACTGATTTACCTACATGATACCTACAGTATATAAACTCCTGTAATACTCTGGTACTCCTCAGTTCGAATATCATCTTAGTTCTGCTTATTCCTGCTTCTCCAGACTTAAGTCTGATCTCTTGTCCACCTCCAAGTCTTAGGGTTAATCCTTAGGACTATATCTCTAGCTCTACCTTAGGGTAGTCTAACTCTGTTCCGCTTCTACTCCGGACTTTTCCGCAGTAGCCCTACTCTGTTCGTTCCTAGCCTTCCAGAGTTCTGCCAAACTCCCCCTGCGTCTGATCTCCGGACTTACCTGGACTTCCATCAAACTTCCCCTCTGCCTCCTGGAAATTAAGGGCATGTACTTGGGTAAGGGGCACAGTGCACAAGCTGAAGCTGAAGCCCTTTGAGTTACCTTTCCCTTGAGCACCAACTTAACACATGATGCCATAGTATTCATAACAAATCCTGCATTTTACAGGATTGACTGTATCAGAAGGGGGGTGGAGAGTCAATGGAATGCCCCAAAAGCACGTTGTACAATGAAGTTGATCAAGGGAAAGTGCATCTTTGCAGCTGACCTCATGGACTCACAGCCATTCAACACTGATAAAAATCTGAGAAGGAAGACAGATAGGCAAAAGTGTTGGGAGATTCGCAAAAGATGACCATGACCAAGAAAAACCAGAGGGTCCCCCCTCCCCCACATCCTCGCAAACCTAGGCCATTTCCTATGGACATAGGAGAATTAGTGGACAGAGATGAGGAAATGGATGTTGATTAGCTCACAATTTATATTGTATGTACGATGCCTGCCAACCAAGTAGACATAACAGCACCTTGATCATGCAGGCATATTCTGATATTCAGTTAAGACTTGATTGCAAACTTGGTGGTTTTAGCCAAGTATCACATCAACCAGTCCTGGTGACTGCAAGCACATTAATTATCAGCTCCAGTGAGACAAGAGGCAGGGAGCACTGGACACTGAAATATGAACATCCTTCCTTATAGCAGGGAATCACTGGTCAGAACATTCACTCCTCCTGTGTGTCGTCTCAATATGCAGTGCTATTATTAATACATGTTACTCACTGGTCAAAAAAATGTCTTTCCAAGTATGTATAGATTGCTAAGATCACTGGTACATGTTTCTATAGGAATGTTTCACAATCCAGCATCATTATAGCTTGATCACAAAGGATATTCTGACACATGAGATGCACAATCTTACATT